CAAAAAGGAAAGGAGCAAGCCTCTTTTCCTCCCTTACATTGTAAGCGGGCTACCTACCCTAGGGTGGGTATAGCACTCACACCATCTCTATGCCCTCCTCTTGCACAGACTGAGGATGTTTACAAAGTGAGGACCCTGGCTCCCTGCTGAGTCACTTAGTTAAACTTCTAAACTTCTCCAGTTGACACAATGAATTAACCATTACAACATCCTAGGATGTAAACAGGTGCATTAGGGCATGTCCTCTATATCTTAGGATATAGAACTGCTGAGTCACTTAGTTAAGCTTCTAAACTTCCCAAATTGACACAATGTATCAACCATTACACACCGAAACCTATTAATATGTACAATTGATGTGTATTATATCTATAAAAATAAAAACTTAAATCAGGGCTGGTGGTACACACCTGTAATCCCAGCACTAGAGGTGAAGGCAGGAAGACTGCTGTGAGTTTGAGGCCAGCCTGAACTACATAGCAAGACCTTTTCTTCAAACACATAAATAAATAAATATTTTAAAATCATACTAATGTTGACTTTTCTAAGATCTAAAGTTTACTAAGACTGAGCCAAGGTATATAGGATCATACTTGATCTGAGATGCTGCAGAAAAATTTAAAAATAATATATTATAAAGACAATATGCAAAGATAAATATACAATTAAATTGTTTATACAGTAAAGTTGCTATTGATTTGCAATGTAGTTAAAATATTAATTTCCAAATCCTCTTCTCAAGGAAATTGATGGAGAATTAGTCACATCTCTTTTCTAATTACATTTTGAACATTCTGCAGCTTTTTTTAGTTCTTATCAGTTTTATCTCCACTGATCAAGCTGCTCTGATTCCATGCTAAACTCAAAAGGAAGATGGCTTTCTATGGCCAGGGCTTTGAGTACTCATGGTGGGGCCTCCCCCAACCTCTCCGCTGGCAAATGCTCAGTGTGACACAACAATATTGTCTAAGCTTATCTTGTACTCTCTCTGCCTAGCCCAAGAACCACCATTTCTTGAAGGGGTTCTGATTCCTTCAGTAGGGAATAGCATTTAAATAACCAGATTTGGGCACTGGAGTGCTCACTGCTACTGATACATCATTGTTTCTAGGCTGTATCCTGTGTGTGCAAGATAAGCTTGCACACACATGTACACAGACATAGATATATGCATTTATTTCTATATCTATCAATATACTAAAGGCCATTAGTTTATTAAAATAATCCCAATTCTAGGCCAATACCAAAGACTTTTTCTAGTTTTTCCTATTCTTTCTAACTGGGTGAAACCTGGTCTCCATTATCCTCATTATAGTCACTCATTTTCAAACTTAAAATTCTTATAAACAACTATGAAAAACAAGCCTTCTAGTTTAATCATAAATGATCATATGTTTATGATTATTGTTGCCTTCTTGACTAAGGTTGTCTAATCAAAATAAACTCAGATGTTACTTAGGTTAGTTCAATGTAATTTATATTACTTCTCAGAATTATAATTAGCTCCTTTCTAGAATATATAAAAACCTCAAAAAATTAAACCACCTAAAATTAAAGACCCTGTCAAGAAATGGGCAAGAGCTAGGCATGATGGCACACAGCTGTGATCCCAGCACTCAGGAGGCTGAGGCAGAAGAACCATCATAAGTTCAAGGCCAGCATGGGCTACATAGCGAATTCAAGGACAGCCTGAACTGCATAGTGAAACCTTGTCTCAAAAAGAAAGAAAGAAAGAAAGAAAGAAAGAAAGAAAGAAAGAAAGAAAGAAAGAAAGAAAGAAAGAAAGAAAGAAAGAAAGAAAGGAGAAATAAACATACTTCACAGAGGAAGAAATACAAATAGTCAACAAATAGATGAAAAAATGTTCAACATTTCTGTGTCCATTAGAGAAATGCAGATTTAAGCAGCACTAAGATTCCATCTTACTCTAGAAAGAATGGCAATCAAGAAATCAAGCAATTGGGGCTGGGGATTTAGCTCACGGCACAGCGCCTGCCTGGCAAGCGCAAGGTCGTGAGTTCAATTTCTGGTACCGGAAAAACAAACAAACAAAAAAAAACAAGAAATCAAGCAATAGCAGCGCTGTGCTGAAAAAGGAACTCTCCTACATTGTTGGTGGAAGTGTAAACTAGTACAACCATCATGAAAATCAGCATGGAGACTTCTAAGAGAATTGAAATTAGAAATTTCATGTGACCCAGTTATCTCTCTGCTACGTGTACCCCAAAGAGCTTCAATCGTACAGCTGTGATACATGCATACCAATGTTTATAGCAGCACAATTTATAACATCTAAATCCTGGAAGCAGCCTGTTTACCCATCAACAGATGACTGGATAAAGAAAGTGTGGTGTCAATATATAGTGGAATACTACCTGGCTATAAATAATGACAAATTTGAGATATTTGAAGGAAAATGGATACATCTAGAAAATATAGTGTAGAATAAAATAAATCAGGCACACAAGTTTAAATACTGTGCAGTATGTCTTATTTGAGTGAGGCAAAATAAAGACAAAGAGAATAATAAAATAGATGAGGACAAGGGGATGGATCTCCTGCAATAGGGAAGAAGTCCAAGGGAGCAAGGGTGAGGGATGAGGAGGAGGGAAAGGAGAAATAAGTGGAATAAAGATATACCATGTACAGTAACCTAATGACCCCCATGAATGTAAACAGTATGTGCCATAACATGATTGAAGCAACAAGAATGAAAATCAGGATAGGGCAATTAGAGGAGGAAGGGAGAGTGGAGGAAAGGGGACAGGGATTAGAAAAGAAGCAGCTAAGGATGTACAAGTACCGACTCCTCAAGCTGACTGTAAACCGCCTGTACTGCAAACATGTACTAATACATTTTTTTAAGGTTAGAAAAAGAAATACAATTTGATCCATTTTGTTTTAGTTTATATTCTGTTTTAGGTTTCCCTCCCCTATCCTGCCTGGTTTCTTTGTATTAATTGTTGAATATATAAAATATTTACAAGGTTTTAAAGGTCCAACTATATAAGGTTGTTCTGTTGCTTAAACATATTAGTATTTATTACAATTTGAAAAAATAAATAGTGCTAAGCTGTAGTATTATTAAATATAAAAAGTCCTCTAGATTTTCTATAATTCACTCTTTTGGGGTTATTTTCTTTCTCGGCGGTAAAAGTAAAGCCTTTGCCAGGTATAATGGTATAATGCAAAGTTACTATTTATTTCCTCTCTTTCCACATTCTTCAGCAATCGAACATAGAGGCTCTAAAATCAGGGATACAAGGTAAAATTCCTGCAAACCAGTTGGCCAAATTGTGGTTGAAGCTGATAGATGAAGTTATAGAAGACACAAGGTACAGTGATCCTATTTTCATTTCAGCATTCCCAGCCATGCCCTCCTCCATTAATTCTGACTGAAATAGGCTCTAGAATCATCTCAAGTACTTGTTTGAAAAATGAATTTGAACTGTTTGGACTTCTTAAAAGGCCTGCACTAGGTGGAGTCTCTGAGTCACCATCAGGAAAAACTCTGCTTTCTGATTTGGTGCCAATGCTAAAGTAGCCTACAGAGGCCAGGGCTTCACTCCAGGAAGCAGACCCAGGACACGGGGTGGAATGAGGGGGGAGGAAAGGAGCAAGCAGGCTTGTGCTCCTTCTTCTCGGCAATCCATGAGTGCCCTGAAGAGAGTGTCTCCTGGATCCTATATGGAATGGGGCCTGGGAGTGAAGCATTGCTTTTACCATTCAGAACAATGTCCCTAATCCATAAACATATTTTTAGAAATGTCCTTTTAACTCACTTTTTTACTAAGTGCCCAAGGAACTGTGCCCAAACTCCTGTTAGGAAAAGCCAGTAAATTTGTCTTGTGCCAGAGGATCTTTCATAGCTGCGATGTAGGAAAACAACTCAGATCTTCTGGCATTTGGAAACCAATGGGGGAAATGAGTCATTCCAAGATTACTTTAGATACTGGCTAATAAAGAGGTGGGCTGGGAAGTTCAGAAAGAAGAGCAGATTGAGTATTTTCCATAAGCAGAAGAGCCCTGGATGGTTTCTTTTCCTCTGATGCTACCCTAAATTACCCTGTCTTCTTGTGCCGCCTAGTGGTTTAGCCAGGTCATTGAAAAGGTACTGTTGGGGCACGTGTACATGTTGAGAGAATTTGAGAACTGGATCCTAGTGAAACATCTCTGAGTCTCCTCATTTTAAAGATGAGGAAAGATGAGGGCACAGAGGCCCAAGGAAGGGAAGCGATGCCTGGAGTCGGGTTTACCAGCAAAGCCCTCTTCTTCACAGTTCACAGTCAACATCTATTTACCAAAGGTCTCAAGTGTGTTTTTTGAGCTAATAGTTTTCACATATATTTTTGCCTTACAGAATCACTCTAGGACCCTAACTCTTCACATGTATTGCCATAATTATTAATGAAACAGAACAGAAACATTCACTAGTAACGTTCATGTACAAAATGCATGTGAATTTTCAGATTTGCTTAACAAAACACAGATGTATCTACTTACACTTCTGACGTCAGCTGTTTTTGAAGAATCAAGTAGGAATCTTTTTTAACTTTATCAACCGGAAATTCAGTGTTTAAGAATTCTAGGATTTCCTTCATTTAAGGAGCTGAGTGAAATTCAAGCAAGTGGAAATTCTAGGTGGGGACAATGTAAGTAGTACTTCCTGGAGTTGGTGACAGCCTCCCACTGTGGTCACAGGAGTTGTTGTAGTGAGAGGAAAGGGCTTCGGCCCCAGCTCAGCCACTCTCTGGTACCCTTTTGGATCCTGTCACTTGACTTCCAGGGTTCATTTTGAAGGGAGTCTTGACCTGTACAAGTGGTTCTTACTCCATTTGGAGCTCACTGCCCTTTTGAGAATCGGATTTGATGATGGCAGTGATGAAGATGAGGATGAGATGATGATGATGATGTTAATATTACTCAGAATTCACTGTGCAGGGGCTATATTCTCTGCCTATTAATTCACTTTTCACAGCAACCCTAAAAAGTGATATTATTTTCCCACACTTGAAGATAGGAAAACAAGAGGTTGAATAACTGATCAAGGTTATAGATTTTAAATGGTAGAACCACAATTTGACCCAAGTAGTTGCCTGCAAATCCTGTTCTTCATCATTAGGTCAGCTTACATGTCAACACAGACATATGTGCTTTTTCTTAGAGGTTACAGGGATTCCCAGATCCCATCTGTAGACTGCCTAAGATTCAAAGTCCTAAAACCAACACTTCAGCTAGATGATCTCTAATCCCCACACACACTTGACCATCATTTTGTGGATCCATACAAATATTGTAAGAAGCAAGTGAAGGGTAGGCCAGTATCTTCCAGCTGCTATTACCTCCATCTTCTTCCCAGTGACTCCATGGACGGTAGTCAGGCCTAAAGCATTACTTAGACTTTTAATCCCCTTTTCTGTTCTGCTAATGCCATACACACTCAAATGAACTTTAAATCAGGAAATTCATGTAAAATTAGTTAAGAGATTGGTGTGATTTGCAAGGTAGAAACCAAACATAATTGAACTGGAGAGTTTTGAAACTTAGAGTGTTCTTTCTTTTTCTTATCTTTTTTTTTTTTTAGATACACCTTGCCTCTCACAGAAGGAAAACCTAACATCACAATTCTTGATACTCAGATCCTAAAGTTACGGTCCAGATCTCTCTCCCAGATACATGAGGCAGCTGTGAGAATGAGGTCTGAAGCCTCAGATATGATGTCCACATTGTTAGAAATTGAGGACTGGTTTGATAAGCTAATACAACTGACTGAAGAGGTAAGAACTTTAAACCACCCAAATGTCACATGATATGCAAGAAGAATTCTGTGGAATGGTACTAAAGATAAGATGGTAAATGGACTATCTAACACATTGTCTGGGAAATCAACTGATCTGACCAGTGACAGAAATCAAGGAGTTACTTGAGCTGAGGATGACACTGGGTAATGGGGCCAAAAGCCATTGAAATCAAGGTGTCTTAGTTACTTTTCTCATTGCTAAGACTAAATACCCAACACCTACAAGTTAAGGGAGGAAAGATTTGTAGAGGTTTCATTCCATTAATGGCTGGCTCCAAGGCAGAGTGGCACATGGCAGAGAGACAACAGTTCATGGGGGGAGGGTGGACAGTGAAAGCAACAAACAAGCAGTAACACTCTTTCTGTCCCTTATATCGTACGCAGGCTACCCTCCCTATGGGTGTAGCACTCACATCCTTAATCCCAGCATTGTACCATGAATGAATCACAAACTCTAAATTCAGCCACTTCCGAAATGCCCACCCCTCCCATGACTGCATGAGGCTTTGGAGGATAGCTAGACACAAGCCATAACACAAAGCAAGAGAAGAATTTTTAGTTGGGTCCTGGAAGGGTTTCCAAAATGGGCCAATCATTGTCATTTTCCAAATGTTCCAAATGGAATATTCTGAGTGATGAAGGAGGATGGCTGTGTAGTCCAGAGCATTAAAATGTTAACTTTGATCAGGGTTGGAAAGACCTGGATTTAAATCCTAGATCTGATATGCATTACTTTGGACAGGTTGTTTGATCTATGCTTCAGTTTTCCCAGGTATAAAATGGAAATAAGCACAGTACTTACTTCATTGCACTGTTATGTGAAGACTTAAAGGAGATGAGGGGTGTAAAATGCTTAGCACAGAGCAGGACACACAGTGAGTGCTGGATAAACATTGTCATGTGATTCAGTGGACTGGAAGAACAAGGAAGCAAAAACAACCCTTTCCTGTCCTTCCAATGTTAAGGGGATAGTGTTTAAGTTCCTGTCATTACTGTAACAGAATGCCAAAGTGTGGATAATTTATAAAGAAGAGAGATTTACTTCTCACAGTTCTAGAGTCTAGGAATCCCAAGCTTGAGGAATCTGTACTTTTCAAGGGGTTTCTTGGTTCATCATCCCATAGCATAAGGCAGAAGAGCCAGAAAGGTTGATAAAGCAAGCAAGCAGGGACTGAATTTGTAACAAGCCCACTCTCATGGTAACTAACCCATTTCCTTGATAACGGAGTGAAACTATTCATGAAGACACAGCCTGCCTTTCTCCCTCCTGAACTACTTACCTCTTATTAGGCCCTACCTCCCAATAAGGTTGCACTGGGGATAAAGTTTCCAACAGATGAACCTTGAAGGACACATTCAAACCATAGCATGGTAATATGTTTTCATGTAGAAACACTTCTGAAAATACATACAGGACTCCTTGTATGTACATCTATACATTTTTCCCTTCCTCCTTTCTTTCTTTTCTTCTTTCCCTCAACCTAATTGTTCCTCCCCTTTGAGCAGTTTCTTTCCCTTTCACAATATCTATTGTACCTTTTGGGTTTTATTTACTCTTTCAGTTGTTTTGTTTTTATCTTTGTTGTTATTTTATTTTCTCTTTAAAATACAAAAAATACATACAGGCGTACAGGTAACTGTGATTTTATACTTTGCATACACTGGTATTTTCACATTTTCTTTAGTGAACTTATAACTCTTTTGGTCAGGAAAAAAGAGAGCTTTCTACAACTAAATTAATATTTTAGAATGGGCAAGTATTGGCTTATGAGACAGATACATACCAAGCAGCTTGTGAAACATATGCATGTTCTAGCCCTTTGACTGCTGCTGGTAGCTTCCTTAGCTTGAGCTAAGAGGGAGTGTTTCCTGGAACCCCCAAGAACAGATTAGGTAGAGTATCTACCAGTGATTTTTATCTGCTTCCCTTCTTCTCTCTTTTCCACTTGGTCACTTGCCATGTGTCTCCCAACCCCTCATGCTCACAGTGTGGTCCCGTGAGAATATGTGGGTCCAGGGACTTTGGGACAGACTCCTAATCACAGCATCTCTGTGCTTAGAGGAGCCCAGACAGTCCAACCTGTAACCTTGCCAGTGCCTCTGCAGTTAGACTAATCTTAAATTTGCTTTTCCTTCCCCATCCAACCTACGTGCCCAGCCGCAAAACAGTATGCCTGACGTTATCATCTGGATGATCCGGGGAGAGAAAAGACTGGCCTATGCACGAGTTCCTGCACATCAGGTTTTATACTCCACCAGTGGGGAGAAGGCATCTGGGAAATACTGTGGGAAAACCCAAACCATCTTTCTGAAGGTATATGTCTTCACCATGTGATGTGAAATATTTAAATGCAAAACTTGTGTCCTGGAGAAAGGCTTGCTTTATAATTTACTAACTGTTTAATGGTAGGGTGATTGTGATCAGTTCTAGCCCATTTAACATCTCCTTCTAGGATGATAATTCTTAGAGTTATTTGAGGTCAGTTGGCATTCATCATGGATATCTTCCTTAATGACACTGTGACATTAATACTAACATAACATTGTAACATGATGAGTTTTCTGCTTCCTTCTGATGTCTCATGCAAGGGGATGCCTTTCTTTCCTTCAATTCTAGTGAGTGTTTGGGAGGAAAGAGAAAGTGGTATACCTAGCCCGTGGAATCTATTGCTCTAGCCAAATGAGTCCTCAAATTCAAAATATTTGATAATTGCTTCCTTACGGCAGGGGTTCCGAGCATTTTGAGAGTCATAGACTCCAGTGCCTGATGAAAGCCACCAGCCTTCTCCAGAACAGTGCACACGTATCCAATATTTTGCATATACTTGGGGACTTTGTAGGACAAAGAACTTCTCTGTGTTTGCATTTGGAAAACCAAAGCAAAGATGAGGTTGGAAACACAGAAACTGGGATAGCTCCTGTCTGTATATTTTAACATTCTCTCTCTGATCAACCTCAACTTGAGCAATGAGTTGGATTTGGGGAAGAAGAATAAATATAAAGAAGAGGAAAAAGCAGTGAAGGGAGTGTGTTCTCTTAAAACAAGGAGATAGCTACTAACTTTTAATAAATGTACTCATTGCTTTTAATCAGGAGAGTATAAGTACAACCAGAAAGAGTATCTGATTTTCAAGTGTTCTTTGCAGAATAAATCTTATGTAAGATAGAACCACAATTATAATTGACCTCAGCAGTGGGTGGAAGCAAACTGATTAATAAACAAAATTTCACAGGAGGTGGGAAAGGAGATAGACAGAGGGGTGTGGTATGTGCTAGGTTTTAGTACTCAATAAATAAATAGCGAAAGCCTTTAAGAAATTGTTTTATATATTCACTGATTTTGTTAATACCTGTTATTCAGCTTAAGAAAACAATTAATTTGGTGGATGTTTTTGGCCTTGTGACCACATGATAGGTACCTTGTTTAAAAACTAATTGAGGACCTCAGAACTAATTGAAGACCCTTGTTTTTATTGGCTGCATCTATCAATATTTGATATAATATAAACTAAAATAAAATTTAAAATATTTATTAGTTTATTTCACAATGACAGTAATTGAGACTGAGGGCATACTTCAGTGACAGAGTACTTGCCTAGCATGCAGGAAGCCCTGGGTTTAATCTCCACCACCACAAAGCAAACAGACAAAACACCAATAACAGTAACAAACTCATCACTTGTTAACATAAATCACATATTTTTATAAAATAGGACTGTATTTTCTATAAAACAAACAACAGAATGGTGGTGTTTCATGTTTAAAAACTTCTTCAATGTCTTGCCTAATAGAAATATAACTGTATTCTTGTATCTATTTGTGCATTTAAGCTGATGGGCTACATTATTTGGTTGAAGTATATGAAGAGAATCTGGCCTCATATAGAAATGCTATTTGGAAAAGAAAGAGTATCTTTTCCAATAATTGTGGATATTCATCTTTGCTGTAACACCAAAGTCAAGTTGTAGATTGAATTTAAAACTCCATCAATGAATTTTTCATATTCAGTTACATAAAAATCCATTAGTCTTTCTTAAATTTTGAGTGGCTATTTTATCCATGCATATTTTGTAACATCAAGCATGGTCACTGGGAATAAATTCCTCATGTTGGCATATTTCATTGTACAGTGTGAAACAGACTGGGAAAAAATCACATTTATCTTATCAGAAAAGTCTTTATGTATTAGAAAACTCTCAAACTCACTGTGATAGATACAAGTTTCCCAAAACTACAATTTTTTTCCTCTAAAGCTGGAATTTTGTCATTGGTAACAAATATAGTTTTTTTCCTTGTAGTGATATGCTACTTTGTTTATGCTCAAGAAAATGTCTGCTCCATTCCAAATCTAATTTGCCTATCAATTGCTATTCTAAGTAAAAATATTTCATTGAAAACTACAGTTCAGTTCACAACTCAAAAGATTGTTCAAGCTGGACATGGTAGCACACACTTGTAATCTCAGCAATAGAGAGGCTGAGGCAGGAGGATCACCACAAGTTTGAGGCCAGCCTAGGCTACGTAATGAGTTCAAGACTAGCCTGAACTATACAGCAAAACTCTGTCTCAAAAACTAAAAATCGGGGCTGAGGATTTAGCTCAGTGGCAGAGTGCCTGCCTGGCAAGCACAACGTCGTGAGTTTGATTCCTGGTACCAGAAAAAAAAAAAAAAAAAAACTAAAAATCAGAAAAAAGGATTGTTCAAGAGCTTTTCTCAAGACAACTATCATACACTAATGTGTACCTGAGGTACTTTGTGCATACTTTTCATTTCATCATACTAAGTATTAAGGCATAAATATATTAAAAATTATTATTAGCCTTATTAAATTTCAACCCTAAAATTACTAGCCTTGTTAAATCTCAAAACCTTATTAAATCTCAACCCTTGGGGTTAAGATTTAATAAGGCTAGTAATTTTTACTAAACTTTTTTAACTTGGTAAATTTTTCAGGTTTTAAAAGAATTTAAAAGCATTCTTTAGTAAAGCCAGAAATTCATTTTCTTTACTTGAGAGTACATAGACACTATGCCCATTACTGTCATACCCTTAGGTACAGTTTGGTGTCACCATCTTGATTCCTGCTGCATTGCCAGCTTTATCCATTGCTACTTTTGCATCATTAGTGCAAGTGTCAGTACCATTAAGAAGATAAATATTATGCTAGTCCTAAAATGAAAATAGTTTTGACCTTGTGCACCTCCTGAATAGGTCTGAGGGACAGGTAAAAATCTATGAGTTATACCTTGAGATCCACTGCTTTAACTGTTATTTTAATCTATTGTGGGGTCATTTGGAAATATTTTAACTACAGTGAACATAAAATTAGACTGGTGAAAGCAACAATTAAATGATTAGTCTGCTTTTGACTTTAGCATAATGTCACAGTCCATGTGGTGTCCAGTGTGATGCAATGTGTTATTTTTCATCTCACAGTATCCACAGGAAAAAACTAATGGGTCCAGGGTACCTGCACAATTGCGAGTGAACATCTGGCTGGGCTTAAGTGCTGTTGAGAAGAAATTCAATAGCTTTGCAGAAGGAAATTTCACCGTCTTTGCTGAAATGGTACATTTAATAATGTTACTGTCTTTTTCTTTTTGGTGAGGGAGACATTTTGTGTTAATTTTAGGGAAAATATTCACATATGAGAAATAAACAAAGTTGCTACCACATATAATCCATTCCAATGATCTAAATTTAAGAGGCCAGGTCACAGTGGTGAGCCTATGGGATGTCTGCCGCAGCTGTCTCTTTGTTACCATTGAAAGTGCTAAAAGGTTCACCGTCACTAAGATGATCCTTGAGAAGTTTGTCTATATTGGAACACCACAAATGGTTATCAGTTTTGTGTGGTAATTCTAGCCAGCAATACTGGTGTTCTTCCAGTTCTTGGCACAAAAATTCAGTAATAGCAAGTCACATTGTCCCTGATGGTGGGACACTAAGAGTAAACACTCACTTACACCAACTCAGGAAAAGAAACATTTAAGATGTTCAGAGCTTGAGAAGTTTGCTTGGGGTGGGGATCCTTAAATCACAGAAGATCCACTGCACACTTACAAGAGTCCTCAGGTGCTTATGGGCAAGAAAATTCTACCTGAATACTTGAAAAATAGCAAAGATAAGTAGAGCCTTCACTGAATTTTAAACCCACATCACTAATTAAAATTCTCATTATAACGAAAACAATTTTTATAAACTTTTATCACAAAAAGAATTATTTTGATTCCTTCATACACCACTTTTAACTCAAAGTGCTTATGATTTAAATTTACTGGATGTATTTGGAGGGTTCTTCTGATAATTTTCAGATGAACATCATTCAGCAAATAGGACTTCATGTTCAAATAAAGAAGATTGTTTTCATTCTAGCTAATCTCTCAATGTGTTCCTGGCTCAGGATTGTAGCTCTGATCTGCTTGCCAGGCGAAAGAACTCATAGCCATGTTTTATTTTTACCTTTTGCTTATTCAGTGAGGCCTGGCACATAGTAGGTCCCTAAAAATACTTATTGAGTATTTATGATGAGGATGATGAAGACACCAAGCCTTGTCTTCAAGGGTCTCACAGTCTATTGCAATTATTGTAAAACTGAGTCTCTGGTTGAACATGCAGGCTCCCAGGGTCATCCTGGGGATTCTGATTTCATGTCTGAGTTAGGAATTAACACCAGAGGTGATTCTACTTTGGGTAGATGGATATGGGCATCTGTGGCCACTTTAAGAAATAATGGAAACATATGAGACACACAAGTCCTTACAGCTCAGACCTGGAAGTGCTGTTGGAGATAAATAGAGGCTGTGCTGGTAGCCGCTGGGAAGGTCCTGAGTAGAGGATGTTGATATACAGCCACACGGACAGTGCAAAGTAGGGGAATCAGCATACATGCAAGAGAGGCTGGCTCCTACTTTCCTGTTGGATCCCTTGGCATCCACCTGCCGTCCAGCTCTGTGGCTGGGACTAAGCCTGGAGGAACACCCCTAACCAAGAGTCAACCAGCCTAGGGCTTCTTTCCACTCTTTCCCATTTCCAGACCCTTCTTTTCATAGAGCTGAGCTCAACCTTCAACTCATGTAGGGGAGGATCCACCTATTTTAGTTTCTCTGGATTCTCATGACCTGTGAGGACTGGCACATTAATAGAGATAATGGGAATTTTACTAGTTCTTGCCTTCATGGGCTCATACCAGACTTGGTTCTCTGTAAAAATTTCTCCTGAAAATTTCTAGGGGACTTTTGGTGTTTCATGTGTGCTTATTCACATACTTTTTCTTACTATCATGCCTCTGCTGCTGCAGGCTAAAGGCCACAGTCCTCAAAGACACTTAATAACCTCCATTTCTGCTGTTACTGACACCTTTTCGTCCACATTGAAGTACTCGCTTAGATTTTACTATTTTACTGGGACCATGCTGGTTTCAAAGCAGAAGCAATAGGAAAGCCTTGTTCCTCCATTCTCTGCCCTTGTCACACGCTCTTAAGTCTCATTGCGCTTGGTAACAACAGCTCCTTTAGCTTCTGCCTAAAGCTTGTCTCCCTTCCAGGCTCAGAGGCAATATCTGAGACAACACTACAGTGTTCCTAGTGTGTGTGCTTGTTCCTGTTTTCCTAAAAGACCCTTACTCAAATTGCTTCCCTTCTCCTTCAGCCAAAAACTTTTCTAGGGTTTACGCTAACCATCTTCTTGGTTGAATCATCATCAGACAAATGGAAGTTCCAGTTTGGGACTAAATAGGGACACCTACCACGCTGACAAATCTCAACTCTTTCCGTGAATGTGAGTGTGAAGAGCAGACACCATAGATTTAGAAACTCTTAGGAAGGAGTGCTCTGTAAATCAGTGTCTGCCATTGCCACTAAACCTTCTTCCCAGAAAGGACTCAGTCTACCTGCCACACTTCAGAGAGGATTAAGGCTCAGAATTTTCAGGCCCCAAAAGGGCTAGATGCTAAAAGACCATTGGGTTTCAGATGTATTCTTTGTGGACTGCCTAGGAAATACACATCACTTATACATTATTGTTTTTTACTATTATGTTTAATTCTCTTTAATGGTTTGATCAATCTTGCATTCTTGTGTCTGGCAATCTGAACAACTTCATTGAAGATAACAATATGTAATATAACAACTACTGTTAAGTTCTTTTTTCTGTTTTGTTTTTGTTTTTGTTTTTCTTCCGGTACCAGGAATCTAACTCATGACCTTGTGCTTGCCAGGCTGGCCCTGTGCCACTGAGCTAAATCCCCAGCCCCCACCCCCCGCTGTTAACTTCTATCATTTTGTTTTGAAACCCTGTATCATTTTTATTATTTTTGTGTTGTTTTTTGTTTGTCTATGTTGTTGTGGTTTTTGGTTTTGGGTTTTTTTTTGTTGTTTTTTTTTTTTTTTTGGTCTTTTTTGAGACAGGGTCTTGCTATGCAAGTCAGGCTGGCCTTGAGCTTACTTTGTAGCCTAGGCTGGCCTCGAACTCACAACGATCCTCCTGCCTCAGCCTCCCAAGTGCTGGGATTACAGGCGTGCACCACCATGCCCTGCTTGTTATTGTTTTTTGTTGTTGTTGCTATTGGTTTTTTAAATTCCCTTTAAAATAAAAAAGATTCCTGTTCAAAAAAATTTATATATTACTTCTGTGGGTAAATGTGCCCCAAGTTCTAAACAGTTAATTTACAAACTTTATGAAATCTGCACATTCATAAATTGAGGACTTTCATAGGTGTTTAGAAGATACGGTTCAGGGAACTGTTTGGAGTTATTCAAAATAATGACAGAAAGAACTAGCATTATGTATCATTGTTTACAGAGCATATTCACAATTTGCTAACTTGAACTCCAGAATAACTCCATAAGAGAGGTGGTATTGTCCCCAGTTTACAGACAATAACATTGAATCTTAGAAAGGCAAATGACTTATCCAAAGTTGCACAATCAACAACACCCCAAGTTTGTAAAACCTTTTCACTTTCTATGGTTATCTAGCCTAAGTCCTAGATGAATTTGAAAATCTATGGACTGACTATTTCTGGCTCTCTGACGGTGTTTCTCTCATTTCATTTGTTTCTTGGTAGTATGAAAACCAAGCTCTCATGTTTGGAAAATGGGGCACCTCTGGACTAGTGAGACGTCATAAGTTTTCTGATGTCACAGGAAAAATAAAGCTCAAGAGGGAATTCTTTTTGCCTCCAAAAGGCTGGGAATGGGAAGGAGATTGGATAGTTGATCCTGAAAGAAGGTAAGCTTTTCATTCTCAGAGAAAAAGAATATGACAATGAAGCATATCTTAGAATTTTCTAAATGGATTGTCTTCACTGTCATTCTTGATAATATCTATATAATACCATAGAAATTCATAGAAAGTTGAAAGATGTCATCAGTATCCCATAAGGCAGATAACTATAAATAGCACCTGATAACTGGCAATTACTGAGAATTTATTATGTATGAATGTGCCAAGCTGTGTGCTGAGCATAGTATCATCTTATTTAATCTTAACTACAGCTCTACCAGACAAATAGTGGCAAGTGTTATACGGGTCTCCACCAAGCCTGGTGCCTCACTCTTCTAACCTCAGCACTTGTGAGGCTTACATAGGGGATTACTATGAAATGGGGGCATCCCGGGCTACATAGGTCAAGGCTAGTCTCAACTATATAGTGAGACCTTTCTCAAAAGCAAAACAGAAAAAGAGTATTATGTGGGTTTGATATTTTATCCTGTTGTATTAAGAAGGCTGACTGCCACAGTTTCATGAATGCTGGCTGGAGACATGTGACTCCTGGTTCAGAGAAAAGGACCTTATTGCTCACAGTAATGCAATAGCAGAGCCTAACATTTGCTCTCGTTCCCCGTACCCCAGGCCCCACAAGGTGACATGATCAGGGCTGGACAATCTTTGCACTTGCAGTGAGTTACACTGTAGCAGAGGAAGGTGGACTTTAGGAAACCCAAATCTCTTATAATGGGCAGTGAGCACTCTGGCACTTTGCTCTGGAGAGAGACACTCTCTCTGCCTTCCAAGACTGTTCCCATAAGAACACCCATAGCAAAGACAATCAGTGCCTAAACTGGCACGCAAGAGACTCAGGGATAAATTACCTCTCAACAAGACAATATTATCTCCACTTTGCAAATGAGGGAACTGAGATGTGGAGAGATTAAGCTACTTGTCCAAAGACAACTAAGCCTGTAAATTGTATGGCCACGGCTGAAACCTAAGTCTAGCCAGGACATCCAAACAAGCACTCAACTATTCTGCTGGAACATCTGCAAATAATGTAGAGGGTACACTTTCAAAAGGTGAATTACATGGTATATGGATTATATCTCAAAAGCTATTACTCAAAAAAAGAGAAACAAACACTAGAAGGAGATAAGTGTGTTCCCCCCGGAGCTGGGGAAGCTAAAGCCTGGTTTCTAAGTGCTGCCAACAGCACCAGAAGCAGAGCTCCCTCCTCTCACCACTGCATAACGGTACACTGGAGTTTGGAAGAGACAAACTTGGTGAGTTAGATTTTAAGGCCCCTGACTAGAGTTTAGCCTCTCTGGCATTTGTTTCCTATCACTACGTAGACATTAAAGGAGAAGAGAAGTGAGTATGAGGGTCTGATAAGACCCAGTGCTTGTACATCATGACTTTGGATCCACAACAGCTCATGCGGAGGGAGTTGGATCAGAAAGGAAATTTACTAGGGTTTGGGTTAGACACAAGCGAGGAAGACGTGAGGACAGGGAAAAGTAGGGGGAGATGTGATTAGCAAAGCAAAAGGTCAAAGCGTGTCAGAGCTGGATGAATCCTAGAGTCAGGTGGCAGCCAGGGTTTTTGTTCTTCTCTGGAGCCCAGAAAACGATGGACAAGCTCAATTTATATGAACAGTTGAGAAGATTTATTTTTTGATACCTTTCCAGTGCTTCATTCTAGGGGAAGATGCATGAGGGAAGAGATGTAGAGATGGTAAAAGAACCCTCGTTTGAATGGGTCTTGACAGGAGAATTAAGTCAAGGTTAGAACCTGTGTATTTTCCTCTGTGGGTTTTCAAATCCAAGTGGAAAACTGGCAAGCCGCAGTCAGTATTTCTCAAGTACCCAACTGGAGTTTGAAGTCTTAAATGACATTGCTTGGCTGTCTGCCTAGAAACCATCCAGAACATTTGAACCTCCCTTCCGTGTGGGTTGCACAGACCAAGCAACCCATTAGTAGACATTTTCACACTTGGCTTGGTGAGTTGGCCTCCACTGCATCTTTTACATAGGAGGGCTACAGAGGCATTGGTTCCCTATTCTTTGAACTGTTAGCCGAGAGTTTTGCTAGACAGACTCTGAACAGCCCTTTACTGAGACAAATATGACAGAAGCGCTATTCCCCCTACAAAGCTGCCTACAAGACTGTTCCTCTGCCCCCACCCTCACTACAGAAAAAGACCAACCTCGCCGATTAGAAGTGCTCTCTATAATTTATATCTAATTGCTCCAGCAGGCCCTTTCTCAAAGCAATGCCAAAACCTGTTGGTAGAAAGAGGGGTTTGGTGTCCAGTAGGAGAGAACTAATACTTTTCCCAGGGTCCAGGTGCCTCCCAGTCATTAGAAAGAGCGGAGGTTGCTGGTAGCCATTTCTCCTCAGGTAACCATAGCCCTCACTCACCTGCAGCTTGTTGACTGAGGCAGACGCAGGCCACACAGAGTTCACGGATGAAGTCTATCAGAATGAGAGTCGCTACCCTGGGGGCGAGTGGAAATCAGCTGAGGATACCTACACTGATGCGGTGAGAAACCTGCTCTTGAGAGTACCCTTCCTGTGTCATCTCTGAATCACGATCTTCTGGAAGCCTACCACCACCCACTCTCCTACTTCTGTTCCAAATAACTTTCCATTCACAACTTAGGCCACATAAAAACATAATTACTACATCCCTAAAAGGAAAATGGGTCCATGCAACTGGATGTTGCTGCAGGGTAAAGCTTAAAGTAGGCAACTTTTCTACTTTTTTAAGGTAAATATTTATTATCGAACTAGTTTTTAAGATCATAAAAAATGGAAGGCGCATGCTCTTTAAAATTCCAAATAAAACACATGAAAAGCAATTCTGAAAGATAAGCATTAATAGTTTTATGTTCATATACAAGTACATAACTTCTTTCTTTCTCAGCTGAGCAGAATTATGTTGCACGTATGTTTCTACAACTTGTAGTTTTCATCCAATAATGCATCTTGGACATTTTTTGATAGCAATATGTATAGACAGCTCTATGAGTCTTTAAAAAATGCCTGCAGAGTATTTTTTACATGTACCTACTATAATTTACTTAACTAATTTTATAGATATTTAACTAATTTTATAGATATTTATCTCCTGGTTTGGAGAGTTGTTGTTGTTTGTTGTTATGTCACTTTTTTATAAGCAAAATGACAATGAACATTTTACACATACATGTTTATTCACTGTGGTAATTTATGGCTAGGAAAGATCCTTGGATTTGCTCAGTCAAAATTTAAACTCATATAAAATTTTGATAAATATTGCCAAATTTCTTTTCAAAGAGGTCTATGAATTTCTATTTCCATCATGTTGTGTGAGAAGACTTTTTGCCTGAACACTTAGCATCCCCATTGTATTATCTTTGTCAGTACATGAACAAGAAGTATCCTGTCATTATTTCAATTTCCACTTCTTAATTTAAAGTGAAGCTGATTTTTTTTATGTTTACAGGTCCCCTCTATTCCCTTTATTTATTAATTTTCTTTTCATAACTCTGCTTTTATGTAAATTTAAGCCTATATTTTGTATAAACTTTGCTCAATCTTACATAATTAGCATTACAAACCTCTAATAGCATTTCCCAATACTTGAAAGCATGTGTTTTTAATATTTGATCCGTTCTCTGTTGGGTTATTTCCTGTGTAGTCCCTCATAAATATAAGTTGCACATTTCATAGTATGAAGTTGAACCATATATTTAATCACTTTGTCCTACAAAAAAAGCAATTTCACAGGTTAAATCTAAACCCTAGTAGTAAAAAACAAAAGCTAGTTTTAAAAAATCAATTTTTATTGATTTTTGTACATAAAATTAGACTTTTTCTTACCAAAATGTGTGTCTTAGTAGCTGTGTAAACCTTGGACACCATTCTTACACATGAAGAAACTTTCCTCAGTTTTGTATCCTGGACTCATTAACCCCTATGTCTTTCTTTCTTTCTTAAGAACGGTGATAAAGCGGCATCACCCAGCGAGTTGACTTGTCCACCAGGTTGGGAGTGGGAAGATGATGCATGGGTATATGACATAAATAGAGCTGTGGATGAAAAAGGTAGTGTTTCATATCTGTTACCTGACTATGAGCTCTGCAGCCGGGCCTTGGTTAACACAGTACAGCTCCTTGGTAGGAAAAGTCTATGACAACTAGGTCAGATGGTGTCACCCATGACTATTCATATGTACCAGCTGAAGCACAAGTAAATACTTTAACAAGTCCTTTTGGGGATGTGAAGAGTGGAAAATAGCAAGTATATGGGACCAACTATTTGGGCTTTGAGATATTTGGAGATCCAGAAAGAGAGTTTAAGAGAGATCTAGCTTCTCTAGTGCAATTATACCCCATAATCTCCCAGGGAGCATCATTTCCTAGCTCAGAAAGGAGAATTGTAAATGTCTTTGAAATCTTATTTAACAATAATGTAGATTACTGACGTAGTTTCTGTTAGCAATGGTATTCATCTTTGTCTATGAATAGTAATCTGAACTGAAATAATTTATAACATCTGAAGTTGTCAAAGACAAAATCTGACTTTTTTCTTATAAGAGGGAATAGTACATAGAAAACACCAACACTGGGGCTGGGGATTTAGCTCAGCGGCAAAGCGCCTGCCTGGCAAGCGCAAGGTCGTGAGTTCGGTTCCCGGTACCGGAGAAAAACCAAAAAAAAAAAAAAAAAAAAAAAAAAAAAAAAGAAAACACCAACACTGACACAGAAGATTTCAAATCAACCTCAGTGCACACACTGTCTTATAATAATAATACCACTGATTGAGCAATAACTATATGCTAAGCATGGCCCTAGTGTTTTTCATCCACTATTTTGATTATCTTTAAGAAGTCCTATAGAAAGATATATTTTACCTTTGTAGTGGAAAAATTGAGGCATGGACAAGTTTACCAACTTGCAGGACATTTATTTATTTATTTTTTACATTTATTTATTTAAAAAAGAACCAGTATGTGGTGGTGTTGGAATTGAACATGGGCCTGCGACTACACACCCACCCCCTGACTCACTGTCCCATTCTGCCCCTTGTGCTGTGCTTCAGTCTTAGATTCACTCAGTTATCATGAGTGACAGGGGGCAGAAAGGTAAAGGAGAACCTTACTGCCACAAAAACGCTTTCTGAGGAGGGATCTAGGGAATGAGGCTGTATTTAGTTTGACTAAAGTACAACAAAGTAAAAGGAGCAATATAATTTGAGTATCTCTTACCCAAAATGCTTGGGATCAGATGTGTTCAATTTTGGAATTTTTTTATGTTGGAATATTTATATATATGTAATGAGCTAGCTTGGAGATATGTAAACACAAAATTCATTTAGGTTTCCTATATGTTTCATGCATATAACCCAAAGGTAATTTTATACAATATTTTTAGTGCCCCTTCATTTTGACTGTCTAATTGCATAAGGTCAGGTGTGGAATTATTTGTGGCAATATTGCACTCAAACACCTTTAGATTTTGGAGTGCTTTGGATTTCAAGTTTTCAGATAAGGGATGCTCCACCTGTAAGTCATGATAGTAGATATTTGCAGGCCGTGAGAAAGACTAAATTTTATCTAGAATGTTATTTACTGGTCTGGAAAATGCACCTTTTTTGGGTAACTGTTCACAAATCCTGTTCCAGGTTGGGAGTATGGAATTACCATCCCTCCAGACAATAAGCCTAAGTCTTGGGTTGCAGCAGAGAAAATGTATCACACTCATAGACGGCGAAGGCTGGTCCGGAAACGCAAGAAAGATTTAACACAAGCACCTTCAAGTACTGCAAGGGTAAGAGGAACAGTAGAGTTCGACTTAAGGAGATATTTTCTAGAACTATTTGCAAATCAAGGGCTTAATCCTGTTCCCAGAGGTTATCAAAGCCTACACACTGCTACCACCATCATGACCATCACCTGGGGAACTTGTGAGAAGTATTTCTTTGTTTCTTCACCTCAGTCCTATTGATTTAGAAATTCTGGGAATGGCCCCAGCAATCTGTATTTCAATAAGGCCTCCTTGGGATTCTGAAGCAGGTTAAATGTTAGAACAACTATAGAGGTAGTAAGAGATCACTGCAATTATTTGGATAGATAATATATCAATGGCAATGCCTTGGAACTCAGAATGAGATACAGATTGGGCTGGCTTTCTTTCTTACCTGAAAAATGAAGACAACTCTTATCTAATTAAGATGTTGTAAGACTTTAAATGCAATAATAAATTAAGTGGTAAAGGATATTCAGAGCAGTTAATAATGGCATGTTTTACGTACTTTGCGTAGGGCTAGCTACAGCGTGTGCATTATCCACACCCTGTACTTTCTGAGTTCTGTGCCCATTCGACAGATAAAGCTCACAGTTGAAATAGATGTACTCTAGGGTAAGTGACAGGACTGATGTTTGAATGTGGTTAGCTAAACAGGAATTGTTTTGATTGCCTTAAATGCCTAACTCCAGGAGGTGATATGAGGTGTGTTTTGTTTTGTTTTTAATTCAGTGGAAATAAAAATGGAACCACAGTTGTCTGTGCAACTTCTTGCTAGCTCAGGAACATGCTTCCAGAAGGAGGGTACTAGAATGAACGAGCTGATGAAAGAATGAGTGTTGGCTATTGAACTATCCCAGCCTGATGGAGTGAGAAGTTTCTAGAGGTGTTTGACTATCTTCTTCTTCTTCTTCTTTTTTTCTGACTAAATTCTAATTATCAGTTTGGCAGCCATTAGCATAGGCAAGACATCTCCTTCCTCAGGGAGGGGTATGATCTTTCACTCCACATATAAAGTAGAAATAATGTTTTTCAGACTGTATGACAATGAGACTCCCTCCCTAAGGATCCATCTCCCATATGCTTACACTTCATTGCACTAGAATTGACTGATGAGTTCTGTATTTCCACATTTCACCAGCTCTCCAAAGGCAGAGAGCCTCCCATTTTTGCTCAGCACAGGATGATTTGTATTGCTACGTTATTTGTTGATGGACCCAGTGGCCTGCTTTATCAGCATAAAGAATATTATTATTGCTAAAAGTCTTACCTCTGTTTTAGGCCATGGAAGAATTTGAAGACCGTGAGGGATGGGAATATGCTTCCTTAATTGGCTGGAAATTTCACTGGCAACAGCGTAGTTCTGACACTTTTCGTCGCAGACGCTGGAGAAGAAAAATGGCTCCTTCAGAAACACATGGTGCAGCTGCCATCTTTAAACTTGAAGGTGCCCTTGTAAGTAATTAGAAGCCAAAGTGTAAATAATATTGTCATAGAGAAAATATAAATGTTGGGTGCAAAACTGCCCACTCCACGGAGATTCTTGTAACCCCAGTACTGTAAGATTGTAAACAGGTTGAACAGAAGTACCCATCCTAGATGTTTAATAATTCCTGTATAATAAACAAAGCTTTAACATATGAATAGAACCAAGAAATACTCCTATGGGCAAACCCATTTCTCCCAGCATTTTTCTAAGTACATCTATTCCAGCACCCGTGTTTCAGGTATCGACACTCCCGGCACAGGTTCTTTGGTCATCCCTTGGAAACTGAAATTCTTCAACAAACCAGGAGAGCTAAGTGTACAGATGTGAGCTGGGAAAAACAGAAGGATGGCTCAAAAATTAGAGAAGTAGACAGAAGCACAGTAAAGAAGGTGAAGGCATGGAAATGCAGGCTGATGAAAGGAAGGAAAGAATAAGAACATGGCAATGAATGATCTAAGCCAATATGGCAACTGGTATGGTGGCGCATACCTCTGAAGGCTGAGGCAGGAAGATCACTGCAAGTTCCAGGCCAGCCAGGGCTACATAATGAGTTCAAAATCAGCCTGAACAGTAATGGTGAAGTTCTGTCTCAAAACACTAAAACCAAACCAAACAAAGCAATATAGCAGCCAGTTTTTGTATTTCTGCATTTTGACGTGTATTCCTCCACTGTTGTTTCTCTTTCTCCTCCCATCCTTTTCACCCTCTTACTTACATCTTGTACATTTTCCTCTTCTTTCAGCAGCAGAGTTTGATAAACCTGGACTTGAGCCAGAGGGATTGGCTTCTACCTCCTCTCTGCTGCTCTCTAGTGATGTGCCTTTGAGGAAGTCACTTACTATCCTTACTATCTTACTCATCTTGAAACACTGGTGGTTGGGTTACAAAATTTCTCTTAAAAGCCACCATTGCATTTGCCCGTGCTTCTTACCTCTCGGCTTGTTTACTCGGGGACTGTGTTTGGCCCACTGCAGGGAGCAGACACCTCTGAGGACGGAGACGAGAAGAGCATGGGGCTGCCGAAGCACAGCGCCACCACCGTGTTTGGGGCAAACACTCCCATCGTCTCCTGTAGCTTCAACAGTGAGTTTGGAACGGGTCTTTGTGAATTTAACTTCCATGGTTTTTATCTCAAGGAAACCCTTCGAATCCCCAAATATGATAAAGATCTCCTCGTATGAACATGACTTTCAATTTTATAACTTGATGGAGAAGATTTGTAAATACAGTTTATAAAACTGTGCCATATTTGGGGTAAAAGATGATCAAGTCATTGATTTTAATGGAATCTGTTTAATATGTACTCATTCTATCTGGTAAGCATCCAAAACTGTTATTTTAATTAGAGTTTAAATAAAGGTTAGATTCAATGCTAGCTTTCAGGAATTTCAGAACAAGGTAGACCTAATTAATAATAATAATAGCAAATACTTAACATAGGTCTTAGCATGTGTCAGGTACTGTACATGTAGTCATTCATTTAATCCTCATAACAACCCTTTAAAGTAGGTGCTGTCATTGATCCCATTTTACAGATGAGAGAATGAAGGTACAAAAGCATTGAATAACTTTCCTCGATGTCTTAAAAACAAGATTTGAACACAAGTAGCCAGGGCTCCCAGAATCTGTATGTTCAGTCACAATGCTCTGCTAGCTCTCAAATTTTTGTGAAAGAGGAGTGTGTTTATGCATTAATATAATAATAAAGAGAAGTACTGTAAAGATTTTGAAATGTCAAAGAAATTTTAGCCGATAGCTATTCCCAGATTTGGTAGTATAGATGGCCCTATTTCTATAAATGCTCGTGACCGAGTCTTATTTTAAAGGTCTGTCCAACAAATAGTAATAATATTCACCTGATTGTCACACTTTGCACTGGGCTTACTATAGTATTAAAAAAAAATCCCCAGTATTTTTCTTCTTATTCATGGAGGATATATTCCAGACCTTTAGTGGATGATTGAAATTGATTGATAATACCAAATCTCTCTCACACACACACACACACACACATATATATATATATTTTGTTTATACATACCTATGTTAAAGTTTAATTTATAAACTAGGTTCAGCAAGAAATTGATAACAGTAATAAACTATAGAACAATTATAACAATGTATTAAATATCATGAAGTTGCCAGTACCACTACACTTGCCCTTGGAACCATTATTAAGTAGACTAAAATGTAATTTAAAACAAGAACTGAAATACTGATACCATGACAGTCAATCTGATAACCAAGCAGCTATGAAGTGACTAATGAGTGGGTAGCACATGTAGCATGGATACACTGGACAAAGGGCTGAGTTACATCACAGAGAGATGGAGCAAGATGGTCCAAGATTTCTTCTTACTACTTCGAATGGCATGCAACTTAAGATGGCATGCAGCTTAGCACTTGTAAATTATTTGTTTCTGGAATTTTCCGTTTCATATTTTCAGATAGCAATTGAACAATAAGCAACTGAAAGTGTGGAAAGTAAGACCACGGATAAGGGAGGACTACTTTTAAGTCATATTTTACAAGAAATAAACTACTTTGAGAGGATACAGCATCACTCTTAGTGTTGTCTCAGTTCACGAACTTAATTTGTTCTATGATTTTGGAAAAGATGACCACAGTTGTGTTTGTCACCCAATGCAGAGTTCATAAACAAAAATAAAATTTTGCCTAATGTTTCTTTTTGCAAACCAAAATGTTTACAAATAAAAACATTTGTGAACTTCAGTACTACTGTATATGGATTCTCTGTTGTATCTGGGGCATATGTTATCCCCAAATATTCCAGAAAAATACCAGAATACAATATTATATTTCTTGTGTATAACCTCATTTTGTTCTTTTCAGGAGTCTACATCTATCATTTGCGCTGTTACATCTATCAAGCCAGAAATCTCACAGCTCTAGACAAGGATAGCTTTTCAGGTAAAGGGGAAAAAAATCCCCACGCTGCATAACAGGGTATACATAACAGGCTGGCTTGACTCTCTTTTCCATTAAGGGGATGCTTTCTTGTCATTTCTAATGACAAAAACCTTTTTTATATTGACACTAGTTTATATATTTGAAGTAAACTCAGTTGTTCGTTAAAGAATTAATAAATGCTTCAAGCACTGTTGCTAGGTTCTAGAAATACATAGAGACACATGACCCTTTAATAATCATCAGTTAAATAATAGAAAGTACCAAGAAAAGCAATTTCTGCTCTCTATTTGTATGCATGATTTTGTTTTTATTCCTGGGTCCTTGGCATGGTTGGTATATTATTATCTTTTACCTTTTTTACAGCTCTCTCAAGGTAACAAAAAGAGCACAAGTTCACAGATCGGCCTAAGCACTGGGCTCTGAGCAACTTGGAGTACACTTCCCCCTCCTCTGCTGCCTGTTCCCTCATTTTCAACCCCATAAAACCGTGTGGCTTTATTATCTGATAGTTTTGTTGTTTTTGGAGTCTTCTGAGAAGGGCAGGGGCAGGGAAGGGGGAAGGTTGAGGAAGGTCTGTCTCCCCAGGATTTGTGCTTCTCCCTGTAGAAACGGATAATTCAGGGGCCGTTCTGGGGTGTCTAGAGATATTCCACTTTTGGCCTTGAAGACCAGCAGATCTTCCCTGGACCTTCTATGGAAACAGTTCTTAAAGCATTTCCCTGACACTTCAGGGTACTTGCCTCAATTCTGAAGTGTGTCCCAAGCACTAATATTAACCATCATTTGTGAATGGTTTCCTTTTCTTACAAATTATACCAGATTCAGAGTTACCTCTATACCACACATAGCCCCAAAAAGTTTTCATAAACATTTTCAAATATCCTCCACCAGAGGGCACTCCACCACAGAAAGTCAAAATTCTTTTAAATTTTGACTACAGTTTAATAATACGCTAAGCATATTTCTTGAAGCTAGAGATATAAGACATCACCAGGCATAAACAAAGAACAACAGTAACTGTATTTCTTTCATATTATAGCCGCCTGAAATGTTAAAAGCTAAGCACAACTTTTGCATGTGTAAGAGCTTCAGGATAGACATTAGTTTGTATGTATGTATGCATTTATTTATTTGTATTGGGAATCAAACTCAGGACCTTGCACTTGCCAAGCAAGTCACTGTGCCACTGAGCTATATCTCTGGCCCTTCATTTATTTATTTATTGAGATGGGGGTTGTGCAGGATGGTCTCAAACTCCTGAACTGAAGTGATCTTCCTGCCTCAGCCTCCCAAATAGCTGAGACTGCAGGCACACACCACTATTTCTTAAACATTGGCTTATTCCTCAGATAGAGCCACCCCCTAACGACTGAAAAATGTGGCATAATTATTTATCATGTAGAAAAATGTGGATTACTTCTTAGCAAATAAGTTTTCTTTCCACACTGTTCTGTAGTACAGAGAAGTTTTGGGGAAGTTTTCTGCTATCATAAATTATAAACACTAAGAGTATCTGAGCTTTTCTTGTTTACTACTATACTTTTCAGACCTGGCACTCAATAAATACTTGCTGAATAAATAGATGACCAGTGACAGTAGAAACAGTGATAAGTAGCATTTATCAATTACACTATGCAAGATAGGTTCATCCTAAGCAGTTTATATTCTGTGTATTCACTGCATTCTCTTGACACTGGGAAGCAGACAATACTTTTATCACTCGGAGGAGGGAACCAAGGCTGAGGAATATTAAATACTTTCCCATGTGATCGTGTAATGGAGGTATGTGTTGAAACCAGATGCGTCTGACTGCAGAGCCCACGCTCTTAATCATGAGTATGACAGACTGTGTGTCCAATTAGCCTTGGTGGGGACATACTCTAGAGAAAGAATCTCTCTACACACCAAGGCCTCCCTTCAGGTGCTCCCAAATCACCATGTCACCTGCCCCTTCCACACCCTTGTCTGCAGGAGCCCTATCTCCAGGTAGATGCTGAGAGTCCGTGATACTTGTATCCAGAGGAAAAGCATTCAGCTGAAATGAAGGATCCTGGGGAACTGGTCTTTCACCATCGCTCCACACTGTTCTCTTTTTATCCACAGATCCATATGCTCATGTCTCTTTCCTCCATCGAAGCAAAACCACTGAGATCATCCACTCAACCCTGAATCCCACGTGGGACCAAACGATTATATTTGATGAAGTTGAAATCTATGGGGAACCCCAAACTGTTCTGCAGAGCCCACCCAAAGTTGTTATAGAAATTTTTGATAATGACCAAGTGGTAGGTAGTTTGGAATTTCTAAGATGACTTGGGGGATGATGAAGTTTCAAAGTAATGTTTGTTTGGGAATTTGAGGATTGTTTGTTTCTCTAGGGTAAAGATGAATTTTTAGGACGCAGCATTTGTTCCCCTCTGGTGAAACTAAACTCAGAAACGGACATTACACCCAAACTTCTCTGGCACCCAGTCATGAATGGAGATAAGGCCTGTGGGGATGTCCTTGTGACTGCAGAGCTAATTCTGAGGGATAAGGTAGATTACTGCATTTTCATTCTTTTAGTTATTCTTTCAACTAGTTGAAAATTTGTTAATAATGTTCAGCATCCTTCACTTGAAAATGGGGGCATTGACATTCTATGTTTGTTTTATAGGATGGATCCAACCTTCCCATTCTTCCCTCTCAAAGGGCACCAAACCTATACATGGTGCCTCAGGGAATCAGGCCGGTGGTTCAGCTCACTGCTATTGAGGTACCCTGATCTCTGTGTTTTATTTGATTAAATCAAATGAATGTGTCCACAGAACAGGAATCTCTAGTATAGGGAATGACGTCCTGCTGCATATTTTCTTGCTATCTCTAACTTCCTGTGGAATCTGTCCTAAAACTTAAAATATTCATGAAATAGAAGGCTTGTTGAAGCAATGAACAGAGGTTAATTCCCACATCTCTAGAGGAATCTAAAATATTCATTCACTGGGAGCCACCAGATTTCTGAGTTTTTCCAGTCAACTGGAGAACTGGGAGAGAGAAGATGGCCTTGAAGAAAGTGTGTGTGTGTGTGTGTGTGTGTGTGTGTGTGTGTTTGTGGGTGTGGGTGTGTGTGTGTGCACATGCACAAGCACAAAGGAGCCTGAGAGGGAGGCAGAGGTGTGAGGGAAAGGGTGGGATGGGCAATGGTGATGCACTAGATGAGGTGAGCTGAGGAAGTAAACCTGGTGGCACAATGGATAGAATCTGGACCACTTTCAACGCATCACCTTGCAGCTGCTGCTCTGAGATTTCTGTTCTTCAGCTGTCTTGCTGAGAGTTCTTAAAGACTGAGGCGGGTAGCTATCACTTTTGAATAATCGCAAGTCAGACACTGTGGTAAGAAGTTAACACTTGATCTTCAGAATAACCCTGTGATGGATAACATCAGTAGTTCTGAGACAAGGAAAGGTTAACTAATCTGTCAGCATTCACCTAGTTCATATGTAACACAGCCAATATTTGATTTCTACAATCTTAAAAGTTCTCCTTTTTCAGTGGCTTAGACAGTCAGAAGGGGGCAACACCACTTTCTCTGCATGACCTACAGGATTCTAGGGTAAACCTTCACCAGTATTTTAAACAGGCCTGCACCAGTTGGTCTTAAAGAATTTGCCAGTGACTAAGATAGGATTTTTCCTTTTGAATAGTATTTTTACTATGCTGTGTTTCCTTCCCTTTCTTTAATTTTCCAAGATTTTAGCTTGGGGCTTAAGGAATATGAAAAACTACCAGATGGCTTCCATCACATCCCCCAGTCTCGTTGTGGAGTGTGGAGGGGAAAGAGTAGAATCGGTGGTGATCAAAAACCTTAAGAAGACACCTAACTTTCCAAGTTCTGTTCTCTTCATGAAAGTGGTACAGTATCCAGACTCTGTAATAGTCTGTGTGTGTTGAGTAGCTGAACTCCATTTGAACTATGAATATATCACCCACACAAAGGGAAAATTTACTTATTTTGAAAATCTGACAAATACAAAAACTTTGGCTGTTACAAAAACTTTGGCTTTATCAATGCCCTCCCCCAGATTCTCACTCTGTAGTGGTGGCTTCTTAAAGCTTCAGATACCTCCAGTGATACAGAAGTTTCTCTGAGAAATACTTATGTCTCTAGTAAACTTTCCATCACTTCAGCTACTATTGAAGGCTCTTAGCTGAGGGAAGAATCGTAATCCCTAGTCATGCCCCTACTGAAGCATGTGGGCCAGAGCCCACAGATGGGGACTACTCCCTGGGGAAGGGTCGGAGGTGGAGGAAGCCACATAAGGGTGGTGAGCATGGCCCTAGCAGCCTATGACTGCCCCTGCGGCAGTGGCACCCTTGTTCCACTGAAGTCACCTCCCGTTATTGGAGGTGTGAGGCATCCAATAGGGTTCACCATCCTCCACCACAGGCCCCGTCATACTTGGAAAAAGAAGTCAGCCAGTCTTCCTATTGTTGAAGTAGCTAAATCCTAAACTTTTATAAATGAAAAAAACTTCATTTTACTTTCCTGTATGAAAGAGATAAAATAAGGCATTCCTTTAAGTTAAAGGAATAGCTTAGAAACTTCCCTCTCCTTTCCCCAGCCATCATTTTCCTCCAGCAAGACTCTTGGACTCTAGGACCATGTGGTTTAACCTCACATTTTACAGATGAGGAAACTGACACCCAGAGGGGAGAGGATTGCTGACATCCCACTCGGTGCTGGGCTTCCCCTTCTGTGCTGCAGTGGCCTTGCCCCAGTTCCAGCCACAGTTATCTCAGTGCCGGGTGCATTCATACTTAGCGTTTCATCTTTAACTCTGTGGGGTGCACATTTTCACCCTTCTTATACTCACTTTAGAGGAAATAAAGAGGTAAACTACTGTACACAGGGGAACATAGCTAGCAAGCGAGTGGCCTCAGGTACCTTCAAATGCTAAGACCACGTTCTTCCCTGGTAGTGCTGCAAATGGAGAGCTTTGTCGGTGCTTACAGCCAAAGTCCCAGAATCCCAGAACCCCTAACTGGTTGCCCCTAGGCCACTTTACTCATCCTTGTCCACCTCCCAACCCTCCTCTATGTTTCCACTTCTGGAATGGAACCTAGCTTTGGTCTGCAGAGCCGAGGAAGACCACCTACTGAACCCCAGCTTCTATTTTTGAGCAAAGCCAGAGATACAAATTTCACTAAACCACAAACAGGCTCCCATTCCAGCCTGTGATTCTCTGAACAGCAGTGCAGTCAAGGTCCCCAAATTACAGGAGCAGTGAAGGAAAAATGAGTATCCTATTTTGGTGCTGAAATTCTAGGGCTAAAAGACTCCTAGCCACAGTTCTTTTTCTTGGAGGTTTCATTTTGTTTTGACTATTTCTAAATTCTGCTCAGGGCATGGCTAGTAGATTATCAATGTTCTGGGCTTGTTAGCCATATGCAGGTCTCCTCTGAGATCTAATGATCATAGCACTCAGCCAAATGCCTAATGTGTAGATTACTGGACTACTTATTGTGAGCCCCCAAGCAAAAAGACTGAGTTGATCCCTTGGAGAAAATTATCAGCAACACTGTCTTGTAAAGAGAAATGACACCCCTCTTTATAACTCCCAGTTCTTGCCTAAGGAGGAACTGTACATGCCTCCCCTGGTGATCAAGGTCATCGACCACAGGCAATTTGGGCGGAAGCCTGTTGTTGGCCAGTGCACCATTGACCACCTGGACCGCTTTCGCTGTGACCCTTATGCAGGCAAAGAGGACATTGTACCACAGCTAAAAGGTAAAATGCAAGTCTATAAATAACATTTTTGTGTTTTTCATGCATGATTTGATATATTTACAAACCATCTCAAGGTAAGTACTCATCATCTAGATTCTACAGAGGAGGACTACACTGACCAACTTAATTTACAGTGCGTTAAGTAACTTCCCCAAGGAAATACAGCTAGTAAGTGGAGGAGTTAAGGCTGGAAACCTTGCTGAGTTGGGGGTGGGGGGAACAATGTTAGAGCAATTTTCTTCTAATATGTCCTGCTCCTGGATGAACTTGTCATTTGAGGAAATGTCAAGTGCTTCATGAACTTTCCTATTTGCCTTTTAAGAAGCAGCAGGAACCACCCCCTCCATGAGCACTGAAAGAAGATGAGATTTTTATTTCAAATTGCTTTCTGTCTGTGATCCTTCCTCATTAATGCATGACAACAATGTTGTGATGTAATTTAAGAGATAGTTCATTGTTAGCCATACAGGAAAAGCTTAGATACAATTAATTACGTAAATGATAGAGCAGGAGCATGTACTTACTTTAAATTTCCATAATAAGTAATAGTGAATGATATAGTATTTTTCTATTACCTACTTAGATAGTGTCTAATTTCTAGCTTGCCATGTGCCTGGCACTGTGTTAGGAAATGAGGGCTCAGTTACTTCAGAGCACAAGGTCCCAAGACTCTTGGCTTCCTAGGATTAGACCTGATGAAGCACTGTGAGGCTTTATGCAGCCACCTTCAAGACTGAAACAGATATCTCCTATTTGAGCAGCTGTGCCATGACCTAGTTCTATTGAAGTTTCCATAAAGTTTGGTCTTGATTTTACAGAGCCTCTGAAACTCAGCTGCTTTGTGGCTCTAAATGCCCTACAGGATGCTTCCTTCATGCAGAGAAGGGGAAAAAATCTAGTCAGATTTGAGCAAAACTCTACATGTGTTTATTTAAAAATATCACATACAAAATTTTGTGCTATCAGGTGTGGTGGCACACCTCTGTAATTCCAGCACTTGGGAGGCTGAGGCAGGAGGATCGCTGTGAGTTCTAGGCCAACCTGGGCTATATAAGTGAGTTCAAGGCCTGTCTGCACTACTTAGTGAGACCCTGCCTCAAAAAAAATGGGGTGGGGGCTGAACTGATGGTGCCCAAAGTAGTAATTTTTATGACAGCAAGAATTAGTATAACCGCAGGAATTATTTTATTCAATATGGAGAAGTGAGGGAAAACAGAGGGAATGGCTGTATATTTTGGGCTGGGCCTGCAGTGACCCATCCAGCTCTTGCTCTCACAGTGTACAGAGAAGAAGACCCTAGTTTTACATACAGTTCCCCAGATATTTCTGTTTTACTTGAAATGGAGAGAAATCATCTCCCTACTGCTTTCATAAGAGAAAGTTTTCTGGTCCAAACATGAGAAATCATTACGAAGCTATAAATTCTGTCCTCAAAATTGCTTGTGTGGACTTGTTTGCCTCTGTTGGTCAGGGATAGGCTAGGTCCAAGACAGAGGCCTCCTGGTTAGTGACACTGTGTTATTAAGATGGAGAATATGCAAGACTTCAGGGAGCCCCTGAAGTACTTTCTTAAAAGCAGTAATGGTGTAAAATTGAAGAGAAAATCTTGTTGACCTAATGCTGGAAACACAGAATGCCACCCCTATGGCAGCTTTGTTTACAGAAAGACAGTAAAGGAAACAGAACAGAAATGGAGAACAAAAGTATACCGAGGAACTTGTATGCAATTGTGGTCTTGCATTCCTGTGCATCTGACTCTCTTGTTCCGTTCTGTCGCAGTTGGCTGGCGAGCTTATCTTGGAAATGCAGCAACTGCTGCTAGGTCTGCTTATAGGATATAAAACTACCTAGTATAGCAATTGGTATATCATAGATGCTCAATAAGTATCAATCTCTTCTGTGTCCTTATTATCCCCTAAATACCCCTCTGAATTAATTGAGCATCGGCTGTTCTCTAGTCTCTGGTTTGATGATTACAACACAAACTTTGGGGCCAAACCAAGGTACATTAGTTAATTCTTTTCATTTACTACTAACTGTTTAAACTGAAGCAAATGCTTTGCTTTCTCTTAGCGTCAGTTTATTGTTAAACCTTTAAAATGGAGATAATAGCGCCTTTTTAAAGGATGATTGAGGTGTTAAATAAGATCATGTAAGTAAAGTGCTTAGCCCGATGCCTGGCACATGGTAGGTAACTAAAGTGTCTCCTCTTCCCTCATGATGTCTTATATGCACTCAAAAAAGTGTCAATTGCCCGAGTGAGTTCAACAAAAAGTTATTTGGCTTGGTAGAATGTATTCCAGCCTCCTGGTGCATGTCTGACTGCCTGATGCTTCTTCATTAAGAGAAGGGAAAGAGGGACTGGGGATTTAGCTCAGCGGCAAAAGCGCCTGCCTGGCAAGCGCAAGGTCGTGAGTTCGGTTCCCGGTACCGGAGAAAAACCAAAAAAAAAAAAAAAAAAAAAAAAAAGAGAAGGGAAAGAAGGAGAAATTTTGTATGCATGCATATACAGGATAGATAACATGGTTGTTCTTCTGTCTTCTATTTCTATGCTGAAAGAAACTGTCAATGAGTCTTTGGTTGACCAGTATTGCATGTTTATATCTGTTTTCACGAGAAGCCACTTTGAAGATATCAATATGTAATACAACCACCATTGTTAATTCCCTACCACTTTGTTTGTAACTCTGTATTGTCTGTATTGTGCTTGTGATATGTTGTAAAATGTTGTATGTCTGTTAATGTTTCCCTCCTTTTATCTTTAAAATAAAAAAAAAAAAAAAAGAAGGAATTGTACCTATCATCCTACCCCAACCCCAGGTTGAGCCTTTGGCAATTCCTTCAGCTGATCCAAACCTGATGAGTTCAGGAGGGGCTGTTTCTGGGCCTCTGCTCTAACCCCAAAATCATGAGTCAGAAGTGTCTGGGGAATTGTACATAAAACAGGGCTTGTGCCTTCTCCTTCGTACACTGTGAGAGCAAGAGCTAAATAGGTCACTGAGCTCTAGCCCCAAAATGCACAACGATCCACGCTGCTTTCTGCCACTTCTCTTTTCCTCCCCTCCCCCCCCGTCTCCCATTCACTTCCTACCTCCTTTCTTCTTTAGTTCTTTATATTCTTTTTCCTAAGAACAAATCCTAAGAAAAGGAGCCACCTTTATTTGTATGTTTCTCAGCTTCACCCTCACTGCTGCATCCTATAAAGACATGTATCGACATAATTGACACAATTCACTTTTAGTACCTCCTGTATGCATAGGCATTGCACTAATGCCCAAAACAAAACAAAAAGGGGCCAAGTCGCCCCCTAGGAATTGTCTAAAACCATATTGTATTCTGAGCAAAGCAATGAGTGTTTAGGGTGTTTTCTACATTCAAGAGTGTCATCTGGGCATAAACTTTACCATCCACTCTGTAGCTATTCAACTTGAATTTGGAGTAGAATGTTCCCCATTTTATTTTCCTAAGTATCTCAGATTATGAAATTCTTTGCCTTGCAGCCTCCCTTATGTCTGCATCCCCCTGCCGGGATGTTGTTATTGAAATAGAAGACACCAAGCCATTACTGGCTTCTAAGGTAAGCTTCAGAACTAATCACTGGATGCCATCAGTTTTATCTTCCAGATGTCTAAGAATTTGGTAAATTCAGTCAAACAGCCTTTTGATGCTATTAAAATAATAGATATCAAATTAGTTTATTGAAGACTGAGACAAGAAGCTAAATCTTGCCTTCATTCTTAGTTGTGATGATGTTGTGTATTCTGGAGTCCCTCAGCCCTCACCCGTCATTTATGACACTGAAAGTCTTATCCATACCCAACACCTATTCCCAGCCACCAAGAGGCAGAGAGATGTTGTATTTTCACACACATCAGTGTACTTCCGCCCACGTAAGTGATTCCAATATGTGCACACAAGTCTGACAGCCACTGGTGTGGATAGTCCCAGTGGTATTATTTGTCAGGAAGAGAAGTTTCAGGAGTAAATTGACAGCACTGAAACTTCAGAACAGGGATGCAGAGCCATGCCAGGTTTTTTCCTACAGGAAGCAGAAATGTCATGCTTTTTAATGATCCTATTTGTCAGTATATGGGACATACCAGGATTTTATATTTGCTGTGGTTTTGAAGAAAAGTGGATGGAAATACTCACTCAGGACCCTATTTTAAAGCCATTCAAGTCACTTTTACAAGAAGGAAAGGGGCATGGGGCGGGGGGGGCGGGGAGGGCTCAACTCAGAGAAAGGAAAACACCGAATATCTCCCTGTTTCTTTTGGCATTTATGATAAACTTTCACAGCATGTTTTAATGTGCAGACTGACCAAAAAATATGCACACGATTGCACCTTAATATGTTAGGTCCAAGAACAGTGCCTTAAAAAAATCCATTTCTTTCCCACTGCCTTAAACTCACTAACATTTGGACCATGTTAAATGTGGGCTTTACAGCCAGCACTGTGCAGCACTGTATTTGATTCTACTATCTGGAAATTCTACATGATCACAAATGACAGTATCAAATTCTCCATCTCATGTGGTAAAATAGCTAATTTCCATTTTGTAAAAACTCAGTCTCAGTAAGACAGTAGCCTTGGGAGAAGATAAGTGTGGTATACTTAAGATTCTTTATGTAGATTTTCACTACTCAAAAAAAAGGCAGTGTAAGATCCTGCTCAATAATCTCCCTCCAGCTTTGCTATCTGCCACTGTCTTATTACATGCCTTCTTATTACATGCCTTCTGTGTACTCAGTAGCTTTAAGTTCTTAATAGCCCTGGTAAATAAAAAGAAAAATAAGCCAATAATCTGTGCCAGTATTTTCATTCATTTGTGAACAGCAGTTAACAGATGCTGAGGCTACTGTGAAACACCTTATAAAAAAAGTCAGTTTGTATCATAGACTTTAACCTTGAAGCCTAGCAGGATTGGGGATCATGGTAATGTCAGTTATTCCCACTTTACTATTAAATGACTTTAATCAACTTGTTCTCACATCTAATCAAAGTACACCATGTTATTAAGAAGCCTGATTGGAGCCACTGCTAAAAAACCTGAGTCTCCCTGTTCGTCACAGTGAGCATAGCACAACTTTGCAAAGTCAAATGAGGAATGTTAAGCTTTGGAAAAGCCAATGACAAGCTTGCTGAGCTCCTGTACTACATATACTGTATATGCAATGTGCATATATTACCACTAATTCATTGCGGGCCCTGTCAACTGAGGGAATGGGTCAAAATTAACTATACTGCTTCTGGGAGCTGGAGAGTATGTCTCTAGGTGACAATATCATGCTTCAGAAACTTATGGCAACACCCTGTGATATCCATGGGCTCTTAATGAATGGGCTCAACACTGCCATGAGAAAAGAGAGAAATAAGTATCTGGGACAAACTGATCAAGTGTTAGCCAGATAATACAGGCATTTTTATGTGGCCTTCTCAACAACTACCTTCCAATTCCAGTGCTTAAGCAGTATGTCAACAGCACTCAGCAAAATGGCTTCTCCAAGAACAGTGCATGTATGTATGATAAGAAAATGCATGAAGCTGCCTGGGACCGAGGGAGTGTGGTCTAAAGTCTTAAATGAATTCTTTTTTCAGATCCTTTCTACTAATAGATTTTGGAGGGAAAGGTGATTTTTAAATAAATGGATTGTTTTGAACCTCAGGGAAGAATCTTCTGTTCCATTTAACAAACTGAGAGTTCATTATTAGACATAAAAAAGCAAGTCACATCAATTGCTTCCACTTCTTTTCTTTGGAAAATAATGAACAAGTGGGCACAAATAAACTCTCCCATACTAACCCTAAATTTTAAAATCAGCAACTTGTCTTAACAGTGCTTTTAAAAGTATAAAGTGTTCTTTTCTTGGAAGCAGTTTTGTATAGCTGAGAATAGATGTGAACAAACAGACTAAGTTTGGTATCTAAATTCAGAAACAAGCAAGAATGTGAAAGTACTTTTGGTTTTTACAAAATTCCTCTCTCCAAAATCTCAATTCAGCTGTGATGATTTAGCCTTTAATCCTTCTTTGGAATGAACATAATAGAAAGAACTGATACATCTATCTGTCTGTTTGCCTCTGTTAGCAATTCTATTATACTGAACGAAAGCCAGTCCAAGATACCGAGGAGCACCTGCAGAAGCAAGGTGGCTCTCTCATGCAGCAGCTGTGTGAGGTGTCCTTAGTGAGAAGATGTTTTCTCCTCACCCTAGAAGTGAATTTGAACCTAGGGTTTCAAAAAGGAGGTCTGAGAACTTCTTCAAATTGCTCTAAGGATGAGGTTGGCTAATGTCCCAGCAGGTACCAAATGAAAATTCAAGCCCTAACATCCTAGCTGTCCCTTCTTTCACCTCCTGGAAATGCCCTGAGATGGAACAAATTTACTAGGGAAAAATTCAGATCCAGTGATTTGGCTGAGAAACTTGACATCCTCATAATAGAAGAATTTTGGTGAATGAGCATTTTTTGGTGCTATAATATAGGCATGGGGAAGACTAGGTACCTACATGATAACACTGGGTGACAGGAGAGTTTTTGAAGAGCTGAGAATTAGGTAAACTAGTCACAGTTTAGGTGAAAGGTTTCAGGAAGGAAGATGAGCAGCTCCATGTACACTCCCCCTGAGTCACCACTGAGTTAGTAACCATGAGGTTATCTGACCTGCTGATGGCACGTCACGTGGGTGACTGCCTCTAAGCCTTTCATTTGAGTACTGTGGTAAACTCTTTTACATATTTTCAGAGAATAAATAAGGTGTGTTCAATGATGAAATCATCTTGACTAAAATAAATTAATCCATAAAATATTGATAATATAAAATATATATGAAAACATAATTTCTCCTTTCTTTTTTTTTAAATGCTCATGGGGTCTTAACCTTATATCTATGTGACCTGTCATGTGGCTTGCCCTCTTCCTGATCACACATGTGCATGTGCAGCTGACAGAAAAGGTAAGTATTATGCATACTGCACTTAACAGTCATGTGTTTCTTACCTGTAAGTGATATATAAATAAATGTTTTTCTAAATCTAGGGGAGGAGTGCTGATACACCAAAGGGAAGGAACTCTTTGTAACTGTGTGTAACTCACACATAAATATGTGTGTGTGATAACATATACGTACATATCCACATATACTTGTATGTTAGCATACTCTTACATAATGTATGTGAGTATGTATATACATGCGAATAAGGAATTTTTTTATGTTCCTTGTTTCTCACTCCAAGATTGAATAGACAGCTAAATTACAGATAATACTTGTACTTGTGGCAACATCACTGTTTCCAAGGCAGATTTAAATCAGTAATAACCAGATCGGATGAAGATTTATTCTTGTTAGAAATCTGAGTGGGAACATTTCTGTAATTTGAAAATGTTCCATAAGTCACTTCATATTGTACCTTTAGCCTGTCCAAGAATTTCCCATGTAAACCAGAGGTTCTCAACCCTGGCTACACATTGTAATCACCTGAGGAATTTAAGAAAATATACTGGATGCCCAGGTCCCAGCCCAGACTGACTGAGTCAGAACCTAAAATGGTAGGTTGGAAGCCATTGGCCCAGTGACGGCAAACCTGTGGAATGCGGGGCACAAAGAGTTGTTCGTATCATTGAAAGCCCTAAAAGGTTCACCATCACTGGCTAGACGAACCATCACACTTCTTTGAATTTTAACTTTTCCCATGCTCTTTCTCTTAATGATTGTATTGGATTTCCAAATCAGCTCTCTGAGGTAGGTGGAGGTAGGTCTTATCATCCCTTTCAATCACTGGATGAAGAAGTTAATGCTAAGAGATGTTGAACAATTTGCCCAAACCAGTGTGGCTTTTAACATAAGTATGGCTTATGACATAAAGATAAAATCTGAATTAAAACCAGTTTTTCAACTCTTAGCTTAGTGGGTTTTGTATTATAATATATTGCTGGCTAAAAGAGCTAAGGAAATGAGATAGCAGAAAATATATTGGAGGCTTTATTTTAATTAATTTGCATATGTAAATTTTACTTTTTAAAAATTCTGTTGAGTTGATAGTTACATTCAACTCAATAGGATAAAAAAGTAAAAGTCATAAAAATTAATAGATTGTATATACAATGAAAAAGAATTATCTGGTATAATTATAGACATTATATTTCATTGGCTGGGGATGGTTATTTCTCCTCCAGCTTCTGAGCAGAAAAACTGTGAATGTTTAGTCCATGGTGTGGGCAAACAAAGAGAAATAATCACACTTACAGCAGGGACAGAAGTACCTATGACTCTTACCTATTACATACAAGCTTTGCTGTGTAAATTAGAAATCAAGGTCAACAGTAAAGATTGTTTTTATTTTGACACATCTATAGGAGGAAGAAGTTGTTGACTGGTGGAGTAAATTTTATGCCTCAACAGGAGAACATGAAAAATGTGGACAATACATTCAGAAAGGTTATTCCAAACTCAAGGTATCTAGACCTATGCTGTTGTGGGTGGGGAAATCAACATCTATTAAAACTGGCTCCAGATTGAGATAAGAAGATCAAAATACCCCCCATTGATGGGTATAGTTGGGGACGGGCCAGGTGTACCTTCAGCCTCCTGGAAAGCCCTCTTCCCACAAGCTTGGTTTTGCCAAGATTTCAGGGTTTAAGGACAACTGTTGAGTTATGGTTGTATGACTACCAGTTTGGGACTTAGGGGCATCTGGCAGAGGGTTTGCCAACACTAATTAAGCCAACAATTATCCAGTTTAACTCAAGGAGACCCTGAAGTTATGGTGTTCTTTGCAGAACATTAGATATCAACATGCTTCCTTCTGTGGACTGAAAGGGATGGGTTTTGCTAAATGAAAAGTTGATCCCATAACTTGTACATTGTTTAAAATCTTAACCATGGGCACATGTTGTCTCAGTTACTTTTCTCTCCTTGCTGAGACAAAATACCTGACACCCAAAATTAAGGGAGGAAAGGTTTATTTAGCTCACAGTTTGTGGAGATTTCAGTCCGTAATCAATGGGCTCCAGGGCAAGAAGGTTCAAGGCAGCAGAAGATAGCAAAATCAACAAGAGCAAAAAGGGGAAAGCAAGCCTCTTTTCCTCCCCTATATTGTACACTGGCTATCAGCCCATGCCCACACCATCTCTGCAGGCCCTTCTTCCACCAGCTGAGGATGTTTACGAAGTAAGGATCCTGGCCCCCTGTCAAATCACTTAGTTGAACTTTTAAACTTCTCACATTGACACAATGAACAACATCCTAGAGGTAAGGGCATGTACTTTTCACCCCAATATATAGAACTGCTGAGTTACTTAGTTAAGCTTCTAGACTCCTCAGATTGACACAATGTATCAACCATAAAAAACGTGTCCAGCAGGAAGACTAGCTCTTGTGCTAGGCAGGTATGGTCTCTGATCATTCTGCTAATGTCCTGAGTTTTCCAATTCTTCAATTTTTCAGTAGCTGATGTACTCAAGGAGAAGCAGATGCTAAAGTAGACAGAGCAATGTACAGGAGAAAATTGTTGAAGTGAAAAAAAAAAAGTTCCCCCAAATAATGTTCCCCCTCAAATCAGAAAAACCTACATCCTTGTATATTATTATCATAGTATCTTACTGTGGCTTAAGAAACATTCAAAAGAATCAGCATTCAAAGAATCACTAATTTAGAAAAAAAAAAACTGATTGAACTAGGCTGGGGGAGCATTCTCACACTCCATTCTCTCCCCTTTTCCTCTTTCTCCATCCATTCCTGTCCTTCCTTCCTTTCTGTTCTTCCTTCCTTCCTCCCTTCCCTTCTCTTCTCTTCCTTTCCTCCCTTCTTACTCATCTGTCCTTCTCTCCTCTTCTGGTTTTCATGGAGGTTTTCTATATGCTGTAAAATAAGTTTTAATCGTTGGACCCAGCTACCTAAGCCACCACCCAAGCAAGACAAAGAACATTTCCTCCACCACAGAAAATTTCTCTGTGCCCCTTTTCTGCCAATTCTCCTTAACCCTAACCCTTCCCAGAGGCGACTGATCTGATTTTCTTTTCTTTACTACTGGGGAGTGAATCCAGAATATGCTAAACTACATCCCCGGGTCCATTCATTCATTCATTTATTATTTATATTTTGAGACAGAGTCTCTCCAAATTCCCCAGGCTGCCTTGAATTTACAGTCCTGCCTCAGCTGGGATGAGAGGTGTCCCCCTCCCTGCCTGAACTGATTTCTAACATCATAGATTGGACTTGCCTGTTTGGATTTTTTTTCTCCACATAAATGTACTCACACAGTATTCTGTATGGGTTTGGCTTCTTTAACCCCATGTTGTACCTTTGAAACTCATCATGTTATGTGTCAGTGGTTTTCCCTTTTTATTACTGGATAATACTTTATTCTGCAAGTATGCCACAATTTGTTTATCTGTTCTCCTAATGATGAAGCTGCTATGGATATTCTTGTACCACAGGGACATTTATTTTCATTTATCTTCAGTAAGTAGCTAGGAATGCAATTTCTGGATACTAGAATAGGTGGCTACTTAACTCCATAAAAACATGGCCAAGTTTTCCCGGTGGCATTTGGCAGTCCCACCAGCACTATGAGATTTCTGGTTGCTCCGTCTTCACCCTCATGCCCGTTTGGTATTGTCAGTCTTTTTGATTTTGGACTGTACCTGAATTTTAATAAGAAATTAAAAACTCTTTGATGGTTTCTAGATATATGATTGTGAACTAGAGGATGTTGCTGACTTTGAAGGCCTGACAGACTTCTCAGATACCTTCAAACTGTACCGAGGAAAAGCAGAGGAGAATGAAGATCCATCTGTGGTAGGAGAGTTTAAGGTGAGTAAAATATGCATTTTCGACCTACCTAAAATCCACTTTGATTTCCTTTATGGGCTGGGATAAAGGACAACTCACCTGTGGGCAGAGCCACGTCCTCCAACCTCTGGAAGAAATGAAAGGTGCTAATAAGAACAAGAGGAGCCAGCTCAGCATCTCTTTCTTCCTGCTCAGGCTTGAATCCTATACATTCAAACCTTTCCAAGACTGAGTTCCCTTTCCATGCTCCATGTCCCCCAGGCTTTCAGCAGGATCGTTTCGACAACTTCCTAATCTATCATCCTTGGCCTCTGTCTCCTCCCCGCCCATCGGTCCCCCGTGTAAACAAATCTGATCCTGAGTCTTGATGGCTTAGACATCGCTTGGGTTTCCACAGGATCAAGTCTCAACTCCTTTCAAAAGCAGAGCTGGCCTTTCACAAGCAGTGTGTCCCCCCTCCACCCTCCTTCACACGCCCCACCCTTCTGCCCAAGAGAACCTTTCCCAAGCCCCAAACACACCTGTTCTCTCACAGCTCAGGGCCTTGGGACAGGCTCTTCTTCCTTCCCTGGAAGCTCTTCCTTCCCTCTTCAGGTCTGACAAAGTCCTACTCATGCTGTAAGTGCCAGCTCAGATGTCATACTCTTTGTCAAGAGCTCTCTGTTTGCCACAGTCAGGGTGACTCATTCTTGCTCAGGGCTCCCAAAGGTCTGGGTTCATGGCACTGTGAAAGTATCTTTCACTTTGCCTTGGCGTTATGGCTGCCACTCCCTCCAACCACACTTGGCAAAGCCAGGGCAGATACACTGCCTCTTCCTAATCCTTTGCCAATCGCAGACATGGTTGATGGATCAGGGAATTATGCCCTATACAGCGTCGCAAATGTTCTCAATGCAGCAGTTAAAGAAAGCATGAGAGTCCAGCTAAGTTAACATCCCTGTGCCATACTGAATTCCTTTAGACTGAGATCCCAGGCACATACTAGGTGTTTCCCTCATGGTGCTTCCTTGAATGAAGATGGCCAGAACTAAGGCCCCCATCTTCTGATTCCAACTGCAGTGCTTCTCTTGTACTAGAGCTGGTTTCATGATATGAAACTATTACCATATCATAAACCATATCATCTCTCCAGTGGTTGGTCGGGTGCGTTCACTCAAAGTACATTTCTCACATCCTTTCCAGACGCACAGCCCTTTGTTAAACCCTGGGGCTGATGATCAAGACCTAGTGTCCCACTCCAGGAGGCCCAGGGTCTAAGGGAGACTATAGACAGTAGATGACCCATTTTAGTGTGGAGGTCAGTGCTGCAGTAGGGCTGTGTGCAAGGTTAGAGGAGGCTGGGAGCTGTCCTGGAGGAGGTGACACCCTTCCTCTGAAGACTGAATGAAGACTTCCTGGGAGTGGGATGGGGTGTAGCAGATGATGCTGGAGAAGGGAAACCACCTTTGGTCATTCGCTGGGCTTACTCTGCTCTCCAAAGTATGTGGAGCATGTTGCCACTTCTGGCCACCACCTCCCTGTGCGCTGACCACACTCACCTTCAACTCCTGCCCAGCTGTTGCCTAATTTCCTGGTCTACCCTGCCCTTCCTTTCCCCTTGTGGTCTCTCAGATAATTACTTTATGATCATTTCACTTTCCCTATTGCAAACTTGCAAAGATAAATATAGTTGCTTCTTTCCCAAAAGGCAGCCCTCCACGGCCCAATCCTATGACCCCATGACTGTCCCAGTGCCCTGGGTGAAGAAGACACTTCTCAGGGCCCTGTGTCAGTGCCCAGGTCCCTGTGAGTCATCTGTGTGCCTTCTTTTAGGGTTCCTTTCGAATCTACCCCCTGTCGGATGACCCCAGCACGCCGGCCCCTCCCAGGCAGTTTCGGGAATTACCTGACAGCGTCCCACAGGAATGCACGGTTAGGATTTACATTGTTCGAGGCTTAGAGCTCCAGCCTCAGGACAACAATGGCCTGGTAAGAGTTTGGGTGTGGGACCTTCTCCTGTAGCAAGATAATTATAGTCATCAGCCACAGTAATTGTCACGTTCTTTCTTTCTGGGCGTCTGTTATCTCACTGGGGGAAAGATACTCTATCAAAACAGTGTATTTAGGAGGACTGTCCCCTTGGGGATTTACCTAAGAGCTTGCCGGGGCTTAAGGCCTCTGGTTCATCCTTCTCATTTTACAGATGTGACCAGGGCCTCGATTTGCTCCAGTCACAGGGCCAGCGTGAGCACAGCCAGGACTGCCTATTGCCCTTCCTCTTCACCCACACAGCTGCTCTGAAGGCACCCTGGCCTCCTGCCACCCAAAGGGGAATGCTGCTCAGAGCCCATCTTAGGTGCATGGGTGCGACAGAGACACCTTATCGTCAGCTGGGAGTGGGTGCGGAACCAAGCAGAGTCTATCCCTGAAATTGACTTCAACTTGCACCCTACAATGACATAACATTTCATCTCATCTGTCTTTCTCTCACAGTGTGACCCTTACATAAAAATAACACTGGGCAAAAAAGTCATTGAAGATCGAGACCACTACATTCCCAACACTCTCAACCCAGTTTTTGGCAGGTAACAAACATTTTTAAACATTTTTCTTTCATTCATTTTTTTCCTCAGATATGTACTAAGGATGTAATATGTGCCCACCCCTGTTTTAAGACCTGATATTGATCATGAATTGGACAGATATTCTAGATAGATAATAAGTAGGAAAATGTACAAGTAAAAGGATTCCTAGAAGCAGAAGGTGCCATGCAGAAAACAAGTCATGAGGTGTGCTCCTCTGAGGAGAGAATGGCTGAGGCCTTGGTGGGAGAGGGACACCAGGTGACTGGGAGCCCATAAACTCATGGCCAGGTGAAGGGACTTAGCTGGAATGAGATACTGTTTTTACTTCCAGAGCCCAATTCGGGTTCTGTTTTCTGGGACACCTTGGTTCCATCATTCTGATCCATAAGTGTATTACTGACTCTGTTATTCAAACCAAGGAAAGAACAGAAAGTGATAAGGTTATATGTCTTGCTCCATTTGCCTTCTGTTCTCAAAGTTTCTTGAAATAACACCATTTTCTTCATAGCTACAATTTAGGACTTGTTTCTGGACTGTTACATTTGTCTCATCAGAACCATGTCTGGCTGTGTGTGGTGGCACATGTCTGTAATCCCAGTGCTCAGGAAGCTGAGGCAGGAGGAGCCTATGATTTCAAGGCCAGCCTGAACTAGAGAGTAAGACTCTGTCTAAAAAAAAAAAAAAAAAAAAAAAAGGAAAACAGAATCATCTCAAGCGACCAAATCTAAGTGATCGCTAAGGATTAGCATTTTCCAACTGTAAACTGCTTCCACATTTAATAATAGCTGATATGTGCTGAGTACTTACTATGTGCAAGCATTGTGCCAAACTCTTTGTATAAAACATCTCAAGAACCTCACAATTCTGAGGTGACCTTATTATCTCTGTTTTACAACATGGAAAACTGAAGTTTAGAGTATCTATGCCTAATGGATCCTGATAAGAGGCAGAGGCAGGATTGGAAACTAGGCCATCAGACCCCAGTGGAGGTATCTCTTTCACACCGTACTCTGCTGCAACCATGGTACAGTGTTCATCCCTGTCAAACTCATTAGCAGGACAGGACAGGGCTGAGCAGCCCAGCCTCACAGGTGGGGACACGGAGCTCCAAGAGCTCTGCCCATGAGTTAGTAAGTGACAGAGCCCAGATGTAAGTGGAAGGTCCTGACTCCATAGCCTGACGTTTCCAACGCCCTTGGTAGTACTTGATAATCATGGTAAAGCCACCACTTGTGGGAAAATGTTCTTTGTATAAAACATTTGTGAAAATGATGCTATTTTTCTAGAACCTTGCTGAGTGAGAGAACACTGTTCTTGATGGCCATGTGGACTATATTTGTTGGTTTATGATCTTATGTACTCAGGCTCTTTCCACTCCCCCTCCCGTATTTTCAAGTGTGTACACACACATACACACACACACACAAGTATGAGCACGCACACATATGGGTACGCCTCTTTATTACTCAGAGTCTGGCAGACTCAAACACACTGCTCTTTCACTCAGGCTAGAAGGCATACACACAAGACCACACTCGGCCCCCGGGCATGGGCACACATGTGTGCATGCATGCAGACACACACACACACATATGCACACCCTCCACGCTGCACACTCCAAGACTGGGTGTTAGAGCCAGGGAGTGGAAGTAATCCTCTGGCATGGCAATATGATCATTTTCCCTTTCTTCCGCTGATCCAGCCCCAAGGTCTAGACAGGAAAAGACATGCAGGGAAGGAAAGAGGGCTGTGTATGAGGGAGATGAGGAAGCAGGGAGAAAGTCAGCCTTGAAGGGAGAAAGGCCGCCCAGGCTGAATTGCTCATCTCAGAGGAGCCAAGTACAAGATAATGAAGCACAGGAAAGGTCTTGAAAGGAGTCACTCCGGGCAGAAGTGATGCTGTCAGACTCTGCTCAGCCAGTGAATGGCCAGTGAGTGTGCAGACTTCTCCCCACCCAGCAGGGTGGAGACAAGGAGATGCAGCATTTTAGCCCTTGAATGGCTCCTGCTCATGGTCTCTGTCTTAGGAGGTGACTATCTTCTCAGCAGAGACTCTTGGGGATCCTGGGACAGGAATTCAGGCAGGAGTGACCTTTCCTGTGTGTTCAGCCATCATTCAGCATATTCTTATCACATCTTGGCATGCTCAAGATTACATTCATAGTGTCTTCCTTAAGATGCTAACTGAAATTACAAGGGGAAAAAAGTATTGGTTAGTCAAAGCGAGACATCCACATTAAAAAAGACAATCATCAAGGACTTCTCAAGGCCTTTAGTTGGCTCAGAAGAACACCAAAAGAAGTGCTTCTCAACTTATTTGACAACAGATGTCCTTTTCTCAAGGGATACATATTACCTTATCCCTTGGAATCCAGGATTACAAATGTGATGTTACAGGCATGTGTAGGTTCAGTGCTTTATTTTTGATCATAATTTAAATGCTTTTTCTCATGTGCTTATCTGCCTACTTCTACCTCAAGATGGCTACTGCAGTCTAGAAAAGTCCCTGAGATTTATCTAGGAGACATCCTGTGATGAACCCCTTTGACACACTTTTCTGCTCAAGTGGATTAACATCCCCAGCTTTGGACAGGGACCGGTCCACACACTGGAATACAAAGAGAATGGGAAGAGGAGCAGAAGGAAAGGGGGCCTTTCAGTTCTTCCTTCAACACAATTTATTAAACATCTACTATGAGGCCAGGTCTTCTGTGGACAGTGCAAATACAAAGCAAAACCCTGCCCAAATGGAGCCGACTTTAGCACCCCCAGGCCACATTGCCTACCTGCTACACAAAGAACTTTTAGTTATTTTTCTTCATATAATTCTAACTTCACAGAAAAGCCTTAAAGAACCAAAGTTCATGCACCCCACACTCTATTGGTGGAGTCCATTCATGCCCCTCTCTTGTGCTCTTGTGGGTTGGGTCAAAGATGTTCCATGCAGTAGGGGTCTCAGCTGGGGCTTCACCAGAGGAAGTTAACATGCAGGGGCATAGATAAAGGGTGTAAATCAGAGTTCTTGGGCTTCAGGAATCTCGCTGGCGGGCAGGATGCTCAGGTGCCCTGGTTAATAGGCGTGTGATAATGATAACAATACTATAATGCCTTATTGTTTACTTTATTACTAGGTTTTACTCAATGCACTTTTGCCAAATGCTTTCTAGACACTTCTTTACTTGACCTTTATAACCATGCAGATGGTGCATAAACCATGTTGTAGGTGAGAAAACAGTATAGAGAGGTTAAATAAGTGATCTAGAGTTCCACAAGTACTAAGCAGCAGAGCTAGGATTTGAACATAGGTATATAAGCCCATGCTTTCCTCCCAAGCAAGCATGTACTCTAACTGTTTTATTAATAACATTTACTATTTATCAAGTCTCCTTGCCTATCCTGGTTGTCCTAATCTGTCATTGTCCTCCAGTAGGCATTGGTGCTTCCTGGGTATTCTTTGATGGACCCCTGGTTTTTTGTAAGATGCTAGTATGAGTTGTGGCTATTCTAACCCTACATGTCTTTATTTAGGATGTATGAACTGAGCTGCTACTTACCTCAGGAAAAGGACCTGAAAATTTCCGTCTACGATTATGATACCTTTACCCGTGATGAAAAAGTAGGAGAAACCATCATTGATCTGGAAAACCGCTTCCTTTCCCGGTTTGGGGCCCACTGTGGCATACCTGAGCAGTACTGTGTGTAAGTTGCTTTGGCGAGAAATGGAGGCCCTATGTGCCAGCCAACTGTAACATCTAGGGGGAGGCTCTGACTCTCTAACTAGTATCTCTCTCACTGCGCCACTGTTCCTTTCCATCATTTCTAATGACAGGATTCTCTTAGAGAGAATTAGGGTCACTGTACTGCCTAATTCACATAATATTCTATAAAAAATGGTGGCGGCTACAGCCATACTGGGTGATATAGGTGACAGCACTCAGAAAACCAATGTCCTTTTCTCCTCTTTGAGCTTGCCCTAGGTGTCGGAGGTGGAGGGTTGGTGATGGTCCACAGCAGGAATTCCCTGCTGTTTGGAAACAGGGATTCCCTCCTTTCAAATGATCAATGCTGTGATATCTGCCTTCCCCTGACTACTTTCCTGTGTCTTTCTATGGTATCTAATGAGTTAGAGTTTCCCATTTCTAGTAGATGAATTTCCCCTTTTTTGCCTACCATGATCTCAGACTTCTCAGTTTTACAGAGAAGGAAAGCTGAAGGTAAAAAATAGTGATAAGTAAAATGATGGATTAGCAGAGGCCAAATTAACATGTGGATTTTAGCCTCTGAAATAGATTTCTAATTACAAAAAAAAAAATTTTTAATTAAAAAAAGAAATAGATTTCTAGACATTATACAGGAGCACATAAAAGTAGAGTATGTGTGTGCTTGTGTGTGTGTATGTGTGTATGTGTGTGTGTAAAACCAAGAGGAACTATGGGTCCTGCTATATCTCTGCAATGCATGCTGTTATTCACAGTTCTGGAATAAATGCATGGAGAGATCAATTGAGACCGACACAGCTGCTTCAAAACGTAGCTAGATTCAAAGGCTTCCCACAGCCCATTCTTTCTGAAGATGGAAGTAGAATCAGATATGGAGGACGAGACCACAGTTTGGATGAATTTGGTGAGCATGTAGCTGTGAACTGTAAGCAAAGCACAATTGCCTATTTGTATTACTGGGTCTGAGGGGGAATATCGACAGAGCCATACCCTAATTATACCATATGAAACAATGCACACCTGACTCTAACAAAAGCCACATTACAGTGCAGTTGTGCTGTCTTATCAAATGTCAAAGTGGATGGATTTTCTTGTCTGTCTTATGTGTTACTTGCCCTTTGCAGGCATAGCCATTTAAGCTTTGAACACCAAGTTCTAGTAATTCATTTCCATGTTATACTTAATTAGTTCAAGAAATGTTCAGATGGTGGTGTAAGAACTGCTCTTCCAAGTTTACTCCATCATGTATTCCAACCCTTCTCAAAAAGCCTCGGTGATTCATGGGGGTGATTTGAAGAGCCTGCTGAGTTCCCATCTGGCTCATGTCCAAGCCTGGAGAACTGCTCTTCCCCAAGCAGTAATGTGTAAAACAACCAATTCATCTTGATATGTAAACACTCAGCCCACTGTGACCAAAACTACTTCACAGAGCATAGAACTATGATATGCTTCTATATTTGGGAGAAGAGGAGGGTATTCAGGGTCCTAACAGATGACTTACTTCCCCCGAAGAGAGTGTCCCAAGTGGTCTAATAAAACCAAGCAGGAGCTTCATGGCCTTTTATGTCTAGCTCAGAAGTCACACAGCATCCTTTCTCTGTACTTCTGTGTTTTAGTTTGTGTCTAGAGGGAAAGTCGTAGAACCCTCCTCTCGATGGGAGAAGTGTTTGAGAATGGAAGGGCCATTGTTTATAATGCCGCAGTGATGCTAGCTGCTGTAATAATTGTATTTCCAAATGTTAGTGGCTTTACACATTGAACACTTATTTCTCATTAATTCAGAATGGACATTTCTACAGGTAAGTGGGCCTATTCCAAGCAGTGCCTCATGGACTCATGGCCTGTCCATTTGTAGCTCTGTTATTCTTCAGCACAGGCACCTAAGGTTGCTGTCCTCTACATCCAGAAGAGAAAGGCACATGGAGGACCCTCCCTGGCCCAGATTTATAAACCCAGTCCAGAGGGGATCTGCACATCACTTCCACCCATGTTACATTCCAGAAGAATGTGGTCATGTGGCCACTTTTAATGGCAAAAGAGGTGGCTATGAACCTATACCACAAAATTACATTCAGTCTCGTTCTAGTGTGTTCTAGTCTGTTTGCTACTGGCAATCTGCAAGCTGGCTATGAACACAGGTTGGGCAAGGCCCTTAGTCAAGAGCTATTTCTGTCCACTATTCCTTCAAGTCTAAACTTACATATTAGCAGTGCCTGTCTATTTTGACAAAATTTGGAGTGAAGTGCCACAAGCGGCTCTAGGCAGTCTGGCTACACTGATCTCAAATGCCTATCCTTGTTTCAATGCCATTTTTCATTCTAGAAGTCAACAAAATCCTGCACCAGCACCTTGGGCCCCCTGAAGAGCGTCTTGCCCTTCACATCCTCCGGACTCAGGGGCTGGTCCCCGAGCATGTGGAGACGAGGACTTTGCATAGTACCTTCCAGCCTAATATTTCTCAGGTGAAAAGTTTCCATTTTTGGACACTGACATCTACATCCCAAACAGTAGCTGACACAGACTTGCCTGTGTATGGTGTTGAATACTTTTAGATACAGATGTCGAAGTGAAACTCAAATTAGCTTCATTTCAGAGGGAATTTATTGTAAGAATTGTCAGGAAGCTCACTTAAATATCAATGCAGGTTTTCTATAACTCAGAACAAACTTGAATTAGAGTTCCCCTTGTCTCCTATCCGTTTCTCCCTACAAGTATATTTAATCTGCTCTTTGCTGTGATCACCTTCCTATGAGTCTAGATATTATGGACAGTTCCTGAGTGTTTTTGTGTCATAATGTAGCTCTATCTACTTCAAAATTGTTTGCCCAGTTGTCTATCAACGAACCACTCAGCTATAATCAGGAAAGTAGAGTCTGGGAGAAGGGCAGAGGTCTTGGCCCTGCTGGAGGAGCAATTACCATATGAGATTAAAGAGTTAGGGGAATGGGTCTGCAGTGTATGGGATGCCAGGTCATAAGATCCATGCATAGTAAAGGGACAGGTCAGTGCTCACAGCTCCAAAAAACTGGGGAGCCCTTTCCAAAGAAGCAAAGCAAATCATGGATAATGAAAAAAGAATACTGTATGTGGAAACTAATTATAATGAACATTTCTAGACTTCATCTGCAGAGATGTGTGTCATATAGGTTTCGGTTGTGACCAGGAATGTCAAGTGCCTGTGAAGCGGTTAGAGGGTCACATTTTAAGAATAGTAGTAATCTGGACTAGTGTTGTAGCTTGGTGGCAGAGAACTTGCAAAGAAGAGAGAAGAAGGAGGAGGGAAAGGAGGAAAAACGTTATTTTTCTTTGCTCAACAAAGAGCCTGACAACCTGGCAAGACTTCTCTTCCCTTAGAAATCTCAGTTATACAAATAGTCTCAAGAAATCTCTAGGTGTGGGAGATTTGTCCCTGGAAATCTACTAACCTACAGGGTTTGACACAGACTATGACTAGTCCCATGACTAGGACTTATGTTCTGCAGTTTGCTTGATGCATGATAGAGCCCTGAGCACTGGAGATTAGTTGGAAGAGAGTCAGAATCATAGTAAAATATAACTCTTTTCAAGAGTGCCAGGTAATTCATTTTGATCACAATGCTCTAGGAAGCCAATCTAGTGGTTTTTCTGGCAACTTTCATGAAGACCAGTCTGTTTTTGTCTGAAAACAGAGTCTATAGAAATCCAAAAATAGTTTGGAGACTATAAATTGTTTTTTATGCTTGATGTATTTTGTTTAATGGTGTTCCTAGCCTGTCTAGAAGAACATTCCGGTCAGATCGAAAAGCTCAGTCTGTGGCAAAGAGTTAAGTAGGGCCTCACCAAAACAGCAGTGAAAGTGTTAGCTCAAGCCTTTCCCCTTTCCTTCTGTGAGCATCCTAGCCGGTGGTGGGCATTTGTCAGGGGATTCCAAGCTACAGAGAATGCTAATATTCATGTTATTGTTTGAGTCCCTCCCTTGAAACAGCAATGTTATATGTTTTTCTTTTACAAAGTTAAATCAATTTATATTACTCTGGTTCTATAGTTTGAGGTAAGTGGAGAATCCCTTGTGTGTTACAAAACTGGGACCAATATCCAGTAGGCAACGTGATGATTAATAGAGTAACAGCATGAGAACTGCTGGAGGGTAAAGGACCCAATGTTAAGTCATACAGAGGGTATGTGATTGGGAGATGGAAAATTCCCCATTTTATTAACCAGGGAAAACTCAGACTATGATACAAACAAGTGGTCACAGCCATCAGAGCCCCCAGGTGAAGATGGAAAGTGGGTGGCTTAAATGACATCACAAATAAAAGATTAATCTGGTCTTACGCTTTTATTCCACTCCATATGAGCCAATAAATTAGCAGCTGGAAGAAATAGCTACCACTAAGAAATATTACAAAACATTACAGTTTCTACTACCCATAATATAACTTTAGCCCTCTTTTCATTTTTGAATGGTTTAGGGAAAACTTCAGATGTGGGTGGATGTTTTCCCCAAGAGTTTGGGACCACCAGGCCCACCTTTCAACATCACACCCCGGAAATCCAAGAAGTAAGTAATTTTGAGACACTGCTACCCTGAACTTGGAACTTGGTTCAGGGCCAGAAGAAAAGTACTTTCAAAATGTGCTCCTTTCAGGTACTACCTGCGTGTGATCATCTGGAACACCAAAGACGTTATCTTGGATGAGAAAAGTATCACTGGAGAAGAAATGAGTGACATCTATGTCAAAGGGTGAGGATAGATGTTGGAGCCTGGCACAAGTTCAGGGAATGAAGCAGATGCCATCCTTTGTTAATTGTTATTATTTTAGATGACTACTATCAAGTTCTTGGTGATTTGAAGGTATTTGTAGCCTGTTAATGCAGTCTGCTTAGGTAGCTCCCAAAAAACAAAGGTAGGAACAGAAAAAAAAAAGAAAAAGTCTCATATACCTTGTTTATGAGCAGGAGTTCATTTCTCTTTCAACAATGTAGATTTTCTTCAGTTTAATAATCAAATTTGTTACTTCTGGGGCTGTTAGTCACATTATTTATTTTTATTCCTCTTTTTTTTTTTTTTTTCTTTTTTGCAGTACCGGGGATCAAAATCACAACCTTGCGCTTGCCAGACAGGCCCTTATGCCACTGAGCTATATCCCCAGCCCTTTTATTATTCCTCCTTGATACTTTGGATAGCTAAGTTTAGAACCACAAGCTTCCAAAACTTACTTTTCTAGATATTTTATTACTAGCCGTCAATGTCTATGAAAGGGAAGAAATACCAGCAGGTTGTGAAGAAAATTATATTTATTCCACCAGTGTTAACTGGGTGCCTACATCCAACATAGTTGTTATTAGTTGTTCATTATCATCTTACTTCCATAATTCAGTTTCAAATAACTCATGTTGATGTTAGTTTCTTGCTATGCCTTGATCATAGAGGATGAGTGCGATATTGTATTTAGTAATTAGGAAACCAGATAATGGAGTCAAATTCCCTGGATTGAAATTCTGGCACTTTCCTGGCTAGCTGAGCAAGGTCACAAGCTCATTGTCCCTTCTCTGTAGAATGGAGGTAATGGTAGTACCTACTTCTCAGGATATACAGAAGATTCAGTTACTCAGGGCATTTAGGAAAATGTCTGGCAGATGGTATGCAATATGTGGGTGTCATCCAGAATTAGTGATATTCCACCTGAACTGAGTTTGGTTCTTTGATTTATAGACAGTAAGATTCATTGAAATGTAATATATTCTAAAGTGAGAACAAAGTTTCACTTGTAATCCCAAGTGGCCTTCAATCAAAACTTGGTTAAAGACATAATTATTATTTTTTAGGTTCATTGTCAACAGGGAATGTTTCATCAAGTTCTTCATTATTCTTTCTCATTTCAAGATCTCATTACCATTCCCTGAGGAAATGTAATCCCAGCTAATCACATATATGCAAATTTATTTGACTTCCATAAGCATTATTTTTTTTAATCAAGCAAACAAATGCAAGTAATACTGGACTGAGAAAAGGCTTTCTAGTTTAAAAATAAAGCTCAACTTAAAGTACCATGTAAAATTTGAAATTAAAATCCAAATACTGGGGCTGGAGTTGTAGCTCATGGGTAGAGCAATTGCCTAGCTTCCTTGAGGTGCTGACTTCACTCCTCAGTACTGCAAAAGAGACAGACACAGAAAGAATGTAAATACTATTTGTGAAAAAGTGAATAATGCATAAATATTGTGTTTAGCACTGCACACATTTGGGTATTGTTTACAAAGCTATATATGCACGTACATAATACAAAAGGAATATTTGCTTGTCTGAAAATTAAACATGAAAATATTCACCAGCAAAGAGAGGAAAAGCTGCAGGGGATGAGCAGCAGGGGTAGGATGACTGTGCTATTTTAGAGACAGGTCAGGAGGTGAATCTACCAAGGTCATAGCCAAGAGAATGTAAACTTTCTTTAGTGAGTTACTTGAAAAGTTTACAGTCAAAAAAATCTTTTAACTAATTTATCTAGTCAGTTGACTAGCAAAAATGAAAACTATCGTAGTTGATTGATGCTAACACCACTACTAATAACACTACTTAATGTCAGCAAATGGCATTATAGTCTCCAAGATTCTGCAAAGCAGTGTAACAGATATGGACCTTGGAGTTAGACTAATCTAGGATTAATTCCACCAGTTACTGGCTATGTGACCTGGTGTAAGTTAGTATAGCCTCTCTGAAGCTATACCTGGGAAATGGAGATAGATGGGCAATTGTTGGAAAGGAAAAACTAATGCATGATAAGTATCTGATTCAAAGATGGTGATCATAAACCTGAGTTAAAGATTTTCCCTTCCCTCTCTATCCCTTCAAGCCATAGTTCTCATTCTGTGACTGACCATGTTCCAGGAGACACAAATGGGAAATGAGACTCAAATAGCTTCATAGACCAGGCCTGCCTCCTACCTAGAATCTCTGTCTGTGGGGTCCAGACATCCATACGTTTAAAAGCTCCCCCCAGGGATTCTAATGCAATCCCTGTGTGCAGTGTTGAGGAGCACGCATTGCACCACTTTGCCAGGCTAAAACCAAATGTCACTCCCTGGTTCCAAACCAAGAATCTTACCAGTAGTAGATCTGACAACTTTCTTCTAGGCATATTCATTCATTCAACAAGTATTTGTATAGTCCCTACTGTGTATCAGGCACAAGCAAAAGGAAAAATGTTTTAACTGTTAAAAGTTAAGATGTTTTGTTTTCTCTTTAAAATAAAAAAGTTAAGATGTTATTGAAATGAATGCTCCTAGACGGCCATGTGAAAGTAACAGCTTACATCTTCTTTGCCAGTCTCATTAATAAGATCAGAGTGAATTTAAGAACAATAGAAAAAGGAAGTTGCAAGGTTACTTGGTTTGTGCCTTTTTTTGTTTGTGTAAAAAAATATGGGAAAGGAAATGCTAAAATTTTGAGCTAACTTGTATTCACTGAGCCTATCAGCAGTGATGACAGAAACTAGTGAGTCATAGTTGTGAAGACTAAAATCATAGCCAGCAAACTTGGATGTACCCAAAATAGAAGCTACATTGTTGATATTTCCCAGAAAATTTCCTCTTAGCCCTGTTAACTGAAGTCTAAAGGGTTTCCTGCTTTGGTCTTAGAGGATTATATTTTATTTGGCTCTAACCTGTATTGGATGCAGTAGAGCACTCCTCTCCTTCATAAATCACATCCCAGCTCCGTAGATAACTGGAAGTTGCCCAAGAACAGTGCATTAATTCTCCTGCTCTTCACTTCCGTAATCACTGCACAATTTTGCAGCTAGATTACTTGTCAGTCACATCAAGCTAAGTCTATTTGCCTCTGCTTTTCAGCTGGATTCCTGGTAATGAAGAAAACAAACAGAAAACAGATGTCCATTACCGGTCTTTGGATGGTGAAGGGAATTTTAACTGGAGATTTGTCTTCCCATTTGACTATCTCCCTGCTGAACAACTTTGTATCATCTCTAAAAAAGTGAGCTCCAAACTACAGCTATGGGAAGTGGCTGTCATGGGTCTACTTTAGCTTAGAAACTCAGAGGTCAGAGCTACACAGGGCCTTGAGGACACTGAGTCCAGCTTCCTCTTGGTACAGATGCGGAATCTGAGACCCACAAAATAGAGACAGTGATTTATATAATTAGGAAGTAAAAGGAATACTCTTCTCCCTAATATATTAGTGGCTGGGTAAATGATAAAGGGCAGAAGTAAGGGACTTATATCAATATATACAGCAATATATCTGTGTTTTGTATGTGATGGAGAGGCTGATTTTTCCCATGATGAACAGAACCAAACAGTAAAGCATGATGTCCCTTTTCTTTTCCTTAGCCTTACAGCATTTGTGTTACCTCCTTCAGAAGCACTTCTAGGAGCCTTCAAGGGCCCCAGGGTCTTAATTAGTAAAATTTTCAGATACAGAACTCAACTCAACTGGCTTAGATCAAAGAAGTAATTTATTGGTCCACATTCCAACAAGTCCAGGGTTGGCTGGCTTTAGGAACATCTGAGTCCCACGTAGAAGTGGTGTCTTTAGAAATTGGCAGTCTGTGCTGCTTCCCTCTCTGGGCCTCCTTTCTCGGTGAGCTCTTCCCTGGTGGAGGTGGGATGCTAGCCAGCAGCCCCGGCCACATTCTACCCTTTCAGCAAACCTCAGCAGGAAGAGAAGAAGGGAGCTCTGCTAGTGCCAGCTAGCTCTTGCCTCGGTGTCTCTGCCTGTTGGGGGTCACATGCCCCTCCCAGAGGTCCTTTGTTGTTCAGGAATGCAGTACCCTGATCAGCAGGCTCTGGAGTTATAGACTGATCTCCCCCAGATTGTACCATCTGGGTAAGACGTTGTCCCCCAAGAAAAATCTTGGTGTTTTTTGCCCCAGAAAAGGGCCTAAAACCTGGGTGAACAATAACAGATGTCTCCTGTAGGATCCCTGACCCATCCCTATTCCCACATTCCATTAGCTTTCCCAGCCACTGCCTGGACACTTTCTCTGTTCAAACCCAATTGAAATGTACCTGCCCTGTGTCCCATCGAGGTAGGCACCTCCCTCTGCTGGCCCTACTTACGCTGATGCTCTGTGAAGGTTTTTGCCAAGCCAGGTGGAAGGGATGGCCTGAAAGGGGACTTTAGAGGCACAGAGGCTTGCCATGATATCATATCATGCACACTTTCAGACAACGAGGCAGAATGAGAGGGGGCATTGGGGTTAGGCTGGTCTTTAGGCAAAGTTACCTTTCCCATTTACTTACATCAGAGCCTGGGCCTCCCCATTCCCCGAGCGGTACTTGGAGCATGACCCCACATAGAGCAGTCAGGCAGGGATATATAAGAATAACAGAGTGGGCTTCCCAGCCCTTCGGAACCAGGCCCTCTGAGCCTTGCAGAAGCCTGTATGCCCAGACCATGAAAAACAAGAAAACAACCCACTGATTTTCCTTCAAATTCACAAAGCTTTGGGGGAATTCCAAAGTCTGCCAGGGCCAGAGGAAGTTAGGTGTGTCTGGCTGTGGAGATACTGTTCTCAACTAATATTGTCTAGGCAGAGGCAGGAACCAGAAGTGAGAACACAAAGAATACTTTCCTAGTCCTTCCTGTGCCTACTTCTAGTGTGAGGGATCTGAAGGTCATCAGTGACCAAAGACATATAAAAGCCAATGGTATTTTTCAAAAGCCAAAAATGTTAGGACATTCTGAGAGTGGAATCTAAGCCCTAGCCTCTACCACATGTAAGAGAGCACATTCACTTGGGTGGGATGGGAGGAAGTTTGCTGAATGGAGGTGACTGACACCACAGCAGGTGATATTGTGGGCCTGGCTTTAGGAGGATAATCTAAGGGGACTACAGCAGTCTTGGGGGAGATTAGTCTCGCCTCAACCCCAGGGGTGGCAGCAGGAAGTCACACTGATAGGAACATGGCGGGAAACCTGCTGTTGAGGAACAGCCTGGGACATCCTTTTTGTCACTCAGTTGGTGGCCTGGAGACTTCCTGGGGCAGCTGATGGCTTTCCATACACAGAGTGAAAGGACAGGCCTAAGGGAAGAGGTGTCGGGGGAGTACAGAGGAGATGAAAGGCCCCATGCTAATGAGCTATTTTCGGGGACCAGGGGTGAGGGTTTCAGAGTCCACTCCTTGGATAATTTAGTTTGTCCTTGTGTCTTGTCATTTTAGGAGCATTTCTGGAGTATTGACCAAACAGAATTTCGAGTCCCACCCCGGCTGATTATTCAGATATGGGACAATGACAAGTTTTCTCTGGATGACTACTTGGGTATGGCTTACATACAGATCATTTTCTCTAAGCAACTGTACTTGGCATTGGTGAAACCAGTTAAAACTTGAAAGCAATTACTTAAATCTCTAAAATGTGTCAGTGATGGGGGAGCACCAAGCGGCAAACCCATTGCCAGGATGTCCTCTGGGCAGTGTGGCCTGACAGTGATTGTCACCTGTTTCTGTGGCCCTGCTTACTCTAAGGGTGTCACAGAGGGCTTGTACCAGCTCGTCTCTGAGAAGACTCATGTTTCATGAGGAGATGCCACACCTGCCTGCACTCCAAACACCCACAACTCTCCGTCCTCTTCCTTGCTCTCAAAAGCCAGCAAAGTTCCCAGAGACACCTGCTAGACGTTGCTCTCTCCCCCAGGCCTGGCCTCCTCTGCACAAAAGGCACGGGTGAAAGCATCCCGCCCGGCCCCTCCCCAGCTCTCTTTCCTCCCGCTTTTTAAAGTCAGGCCTTCCCTGAAGTTTCCCAACTCTTTTCCCCACAACCAGAGATCTCAGTTGAAGATGAAGATTCAACTTTCATTTTTCAACAAAGTACGGCATCTAAACCAGGATATGTAGCCTGACTTCTTTCAGTGCCTGGTATACTGCCATAAGAAACCACTAGAGTAATTATTCCCAGTTCAGCCTTTCGCCTTATATTCTGCTGACACCTCGAATTTATCATGACTGAAATCTAACTCAGTATTTTTTCCCAACCTCATGCCTGCTCTCTCTGCATGATAATTTGGACCCCGTTTTCTCTTAGCTCACTGTTGCAGTAGTCCTTGACTGGCCTCCCTACTTCCATCTGCTCCTAGGGGATGTTCCTGGCCAAGGAAAAACCCACCAGTGACTCTCTGATTCCTCCCTTTACCCCTCACAAGTCTTTCTGAGTTGCTACTTAGTAAGAGTGGAACAAACAAATAAGTATGCAAATATGCAGCTTTTAAAGCATATGGATAGAAAATTTCAGAATAGTAGAGAGTTTCTTTTTAAAATTTAAATGAGATAATCTACAGCAAATAATATGGTTATATTTCAAAATGGTTAGTGAACCAATCGTTGAAAGGAAAGACAAGACAAAAGCAGATGTAGGCTGAAAAAGGACTAAGGTAGGCTGTGGTTTATAGTTAAGGGCAGACTATGAGCCTAATTATTTATAAAGAATCTGCTGCAGCCGGGCGTGGTGGCACATGCCTGTAATCCCAGCACTTTGGGAGGCTGAGACAGGAGGAGCCTTGTGAGTTCAAGACCAGCCTGGGCTACAAAGTGAGCTCAAGGTCAGCCTGAACTGCATAGCGAGACCCTGTTTCACAAAAGACCAAAAAAAAAAAAAAAAAAAAAAAAAAAAAAATCTGTTGCAACATCTCTCTAACTGGTACTCTTGACCAGACTTGTATTATTAGAGCATTGACTTGGCCACATATCATACACACCATTTTCTTAAGGAAAGGAGTTCTCAGAGGTACTAAGGAGTTAATGCCTCCCATTGCAGAAGAGAAAGTATGCTTCTCCAGACACCAGAACCCTGGCCAGGATTCTCAGTTTCTGATGAAGACTTTCTATTATGTTTCTTCAAGCTCTTACTTCTGAGGTTATGTGAATAAATATTCCATGGAGCTTCCACCAGTTGTCTATTCACAAAGCCAGGTGACCTGTCCAGGGCAGTTCAGAACCAAAATTTCAAATGCAAGGGTTCTGAGTCAGTGGAAATTTTGGCTATAGATATTTAATTGTTTTGAGGTTATAGAAGAACTCTGGTTATGCTCATGTCTTTGAAAAAGAAAGTGCTGTCCTCTATGAGACACTGAGCAGCGGAGAGCTATTTCTTCTCCCATTTCCTATCCTATCTAGAAAAAACTTAAATGTCTATTGTTGTCCCTTTTTCTACCTCACCTAAAAATCACTGTCTGCTTCTCCTCCGAAAAGAACATTCTGTGCACTCATAAACAATGGCTGATCCACTTGAAGCTTATTTGGACTTAATGCTGTTTTCTTACCTAGGTTTCCTGGAACTTGATTTGCATCACGCAATCATCCCAGCAAAATCATCAGAGAAATGCAATTTAGACATGATTCCGGACTTGAAAGCCATGGACCCCCTTAAGGCTAAGACCGCCTCACTCTTTGAGCAGAAGTCCATGAAAGGATGGTGGCCATGCTATGCAGATAAAGATGGCTGTCGAGTGATGGCTGTATGAATATTTCTTGGTTGGGGATCATGCATTCCTTTTGTCATTTAGGTCCTTCCCTTTATCAATGAATTACCCCAGAAAAGATAGAGAAGTGTTAAATTGGTTGAAAACAGTTTTTAGCTGGGACTGTAAGAAAATCTGGGAGGCCCTCTGCGCATGCATTTGGAATTGGGGGAAAGTGAAGAGGTTGGAATAGTGAAAAAGTAGAAGCCCAAGTGGTTGTGTTATATTTTCTTAGAACACTGTGGTCCCCCTTTACCAAGAAGATTAATTTATGCTGAGCTTCCAGTACAATTCAGTATAGAAAAGGAGAATGCAAATTTGAGCTTTTCAGCCAGGCATGGTGGTAACATGCCTGTAATCCCAGCACTTGGGAGGCTGAGGCAGAAGGATCATCGTGAGACCAACCTGAGCTACAAAGTGAGCTCAAGGCCCACCTGAACTGCATAGCTAGACCCTGCCTCAAAAAGACAAAAAAAAAAAACAACCAAATTTGAGCTTTTCTAGCTGAAAAAAAAGTGGAGGAAGTAGGGAAGGCTAAGAAGGCCATAACCTATAAGCATGTTCAAGGAATACAAGATCTTTTTGTCATAAAAGCAGTAGTGCAGTTTACCATGCCAAGTCACCAAAGACTACCTGACTCATTACATATTGTTATTAATTAGCTAACATTTAATATCAGTTATGAACCAGGTAACATGCATGATATTGTTTTTAATACAACATTGATGTTTAATTTTCATAAATTGTGCCTCTTCAAAGTGCCCAGTTCAATGAATTTTGAACAAAGTATGCACCCATGAAACCAACCCCATAATCAAAAGCCAGCACCTTCCTGTCACCCCAGAAGTTTCCAATGCACTCTGAAGTTCACTGCTTGCTCTCCCCGAGCCCCAGGAACTCATTGATCTGCTTTCTGGCACTGTAGATTAGTTTGTACTTATTTAATTTTGTTGACAATCCCGTGAAGTAGATATTATCTCCATTTTATAGACTCAAAAAGCAGACTTGGAGAAATGGAACAACTTAGCAAAATCCAGTGCCCAGTTTTCTTTGGGTTATAAGTAGATGAGCCACCTGTATTCCTCTGCCTAAGTGAATGTCAGCATCAAGGCTTCTCAAGTTCTTGGGCATTTAGTGGGCTTTCCTAGGTGCCAGGAAGTCTATTAAGACAGCTGATCAAAGAAGGGACATATCTAGAAGTCTTTCTGTCTCAATGCCTACACACGAGGACAGTAACAGGACCTTTCTAGGGTTGCTACGAGCATTATATACGATTACCTGTATAGAAGGCTTAAGTAGCACTGGCATATCCTTCAAGAACCTGTCAACAGGCAGCAGCAACTATCCATTCATGCTTTCACTGATTCAGCTAATACACATACAACACCTACTGAGTACATACAAAATACCTACTAAGTGTTGGCACTGCTGTGCACAGAAGGGGTAAAGCATAATGGGCATGGCCCTGCTCTCTTGAGCCTGCAGTTAGTGCTCCATAAATGTTAGGTATTATTCTGAACAGAGTAGTCTTTACATGGGTCCATGTAAAGTTACAAAGAAAAGTGTGTGTGTGTGCAGGCAGCTGATTGATGTGAGAATGCTAGAATGACAGGGGCATGGAAAATGAAAAACAGGAAGTGGAGAAGCAATCTGTCCTCTCAGTCTCCCACATGGAGTCAGTTCAGAAACACATGAAGAGGAAATGTGAAGAAATCTCTTGAGAAAAATTTAAGGCAATCTAAGGATTGTTTTACAAGAATAAAAATCATTGCTCAGGGAATACTCTGTGGATTGAAGTAAAAATATTTGTGAAACGTGATGTCATGTGTTTAACCTGTTCTGCTTTACTGAAGGGGAAAGTCGAGATGACACTGGAGGTCCTCAATGAGAAGGAAGCCGATGAGAGGCCAGCTGGAAAGGGGCGGGATGAACCCAACATGAACCCCAAGCTGGACCCACCAAAGTGAGAGGCCCTCTGTGTTCTCTGTGTTGTCTGATGCCCAAACACCTGCAGTTTGATAAATACACTTCTAGTTGGCTTCATGCAATGGATTAGCTGTTGTTCTTCTAATTTTGTACTTGATAGTGGTCTGTGGGGAATGGAGAAGTGGGTGCTCTGACTTCACTTTGACCATCCTCCTTCCCTGGGAAGCCAAAGTTCACGGTTCTCAGCATCTCAGGATGCTATAATGGATACCTGAGCCTTTCTCAGCCACTATGGAGAATAGTAGATTTTCCTGAGTTGATAAATGTCACTGGACACTGTTTACATCGTGTTGTACTCTGAGATAAATTACAGTACTTGTTCCCCAAGTTGGGGAAGTAATACCATTTCTTTGTACTGCAGCCGGCCAGAAACCTCCTTCCTCTGGTTCACCAACCCGTGCAAGACTATGCGGTTCATTGTGTGGCGCCGGTTCAAGTGGGTCATCATAGGCCTGCTGATCCTGCTCATCCTGCTGCTCTTCCTGGCTGTGCTCCTCTACTCCTTGCCGGTAGGAGGCCTGGCTCTCTTGTCTTGGCTCTCTCTGGGTGACTATGCACCCAAGTGTCTAAACTGGTATTTGCTGGTACTGCTGCTTAGAAGAGCGACCCACTTAGCAGCGGTGGCATTGCAACATTTACACATTTGGAAAATGTGTTGTCATGTGTCCGGTGATTAAAATTACATTGCTAGGGTTTCACAAATCATAGGCAATACTCTATGGTTTAAAAAAAAAAAAAAAAAAAAAAACTGGCTCAGGAATCTTGGAAGAAGCACTCAAGTGCAGACCAGTATACGCATGTCTGGACTATGAGCAGCATTTCCTGGCACTCTGAGATCCCCAGTTTGGGCTCATAATGGAGCTCCAAAACCCCACATTCACCCAAGCTAGATAGTTGACCCTTCTACCCCTAATATTTATTGTTCTTACTTGTCCAGATAGCTTTGCTCACATTCCTTCTGTCCAGATTTTATTGTAAAAGCCCTATGTCACATCTAACCTCTAGTTAAATTCCCCTGTAATCACCCAAATGGGAGATTTGGCCATGTGCTTAGAAGTCCTACCTTCATTCCTCCATTCACTGAATTTATGAGCATCTTCTATTGGCTAGAATTCAGATGTAGAGATGACCAAGGCATGATTTCTGCCCATGAACAGCTCAAGTAGGCCTTTGAACAAATACATATTGCAGGAGGCATACCTCCGTTACAGAGGTATGAACAAATGACAGTAGGAGTCCATTGCTGAGGACATTTTTAAGGGGGCGGGGTGGCATTTAAACTCAGTTTGACAAGTGGAGAAGGGATGGTCCAGGCAGAGGAAACCATGGGCAGAAGCAAGGTGAGTGGTACCAAGCGTCACAGAAGGCATCCATAGCTCTTACACCAACCATATCAATCATGATATAGATAATTTTGTGTGTAGTAGCATAGTCATACAGCCACAGTAGCAGTTTTGTTTGTTTTGGTGCCGTGGATGGTACCCAGGCCCTCGTACATGTTAGGAACATGCTTTACCCTGAGCTGTACTCCCAGGCCATACAGTTTTGGGTTTTCATCTTTATGCAAACTAATACTTCCAGTTTTCTACTTATAGCTAGTCCAGTCTGTCTTGACCATTTATTTTTATTTTTTTTATTTTTTATTTTTGGTACTGGGAATTTAACTCAGGACCTTGTGCTTGCCAGGCAGGCACTTGTGCCACTGAGCTATATCCCCAGTCCCCTTGTCTTGACCATGTCAAACTTCACATAATTATTTCTTTTTCCTGGCTTAGATTCTACTAATGTTAGCTTGGGTTTGGGAGGGCACGATCCCTTCAGAGGACATTTATCAAACTCTGGAGACATTCTGATTGTTAAAATTGGAGGGATTTTCCTCCAGTTGGTGGGTGGAGGCCGGGGATGCTATTATTAAGCATCCTGTAGTGCACAGAACAGCCCCACTACAAAGAATCATCCGGCCCTCAGCATCCATACTGCTGATACTGAGAAACCCTAACTTAAAATAGGTATGTAAAAGAAATAGGTATGTAAATGTACTGACATATACAGATATACACCATTTTTGTTTCCTTTCCAGAACTATTTGTCAATGAAGATCGTGAAGCCAAATGTATAATGAAAACAAAGACTTCCTTTCAAGAGTCATCAGGCAATAAAGGATTCTGTCTCTTTGTGGACAAAATTCAAATGTGATTTTGTGTTTGAGACTACCGCTCGGGGCATGTTACAGTGTTACCAAGGCCCATCCATTCCCAGAACGTCTAAATCCTGGAAAATCAGGCCCATGAGCAACATTTTTATCTTATTATCTTTTCAACTATTAAAAGTTTTATTTTCTAAAGTTTTAAACATATTTTTCAGAATATTTTTAAGGTGGCTGGTTCCACTTTAAAATCATCTTTTTATGTGTCCTCTATTCTGTGATGCAGGTTTGAAAATTGCTGAAAAAGAATTTGAACATTTCTATATCTTGACATCAAGTACTTCCTATTTATAACTAAGAAAAGAGACTGCATTATAAAAACAGAACAATTAGAGTCATTATTATCTATGGCTGCAACTATTTTTATGGCATTTTATATGAATAAATATCATGAAACTCTATTCAGCTATTGACAACACAATTAAAAATGTTTCACTTGTTACACATAGCTGTTTGTTATGTCTGTGGGCCTAGTTAGGATGGAGGCAGCTTCTAGAGCTCTCATCTGGGGATGGAATACCCAGCTTGCCATTTGACCACAAACCCTTTATAAGTGTGCTGCTAAATTTGGCAGTGGGTCCCATTAAAGCTAATATTAATAAATATTAACACTTATTTGCGCTAAGGGTATAACTCAGTGGCAAAGCATTTTACCAGCATGTGTAAGACCCTGGGTCTCATCTCTGGTACCACAAAAAATAAAAGCTGACAATTATTAAAGGTACTAATTCCATGCACTGCACTATTGTAAGCGCTTTATGTGTATTAATTGGATTCTCAAAATAATCCTACATGGTTAGGTAGGTAACATTATTATTAACTGCATTTTACAGTTCAAAACTGAGGGGCAAAGAGGTTAAATAACTTGCCCAAGGCCACACAGCTAACAAATGATGAAGCTGGAATTTGCACCCAGATATTTTAGTTTCTTAGTGTGTCTTAACCACAATACTATGTCACCAGTGGGGCCTCTGTTAAGAGGAACAGTACAGTGTGACTGCATGCTAGCACCAAAGACACATGCTTTCTAGAATGTGTCACATCAGTATACAGTTCTATTCAAACAACAAATTAGAACCGAGGGAAGCAAGAAATGGTACAATAGCAGTAGTGCTATTTAGACTAAGTTATACACGTTTGGATAGTTATACTACAAAGAGTCTGTGTTGGCATTATTGCTTACATGTTCCATGGTTTGGGAAGTGGCCATTACTGTTGTGTTGTTTTGTTTTCTGTGCTGTGCATCAAACAACCCAGGGCCTCACACCTGCTAGGCAAGTACTCTACAACTGAGCTATATCCCTGACCCATGATGTTGATATTTTAATTCCTTTAAATGTTTCTGGCAAAACTCCTAGCAGTCAGTGCGCTCAGTCATAAATAAACCAAGAGACACAGCTTTGGCCACATCTGCACACTTGCTGATCCCTGGGCACTTTGTACCCTCCTTCCAGGGAGGCTCCTCACATCTCCATCCACACAGAGGGCCACCACCCTCACCCTCCCTGGAAGGACTGTTACCCACCATGAAGTTCTGTTCCAAGGGCAGGCTCTCTTCACACTTGTTGGGTCCCAAGGGATCCTTCAATTTCAGAGGTAAACAACTAAAACAAACTTTCTGGGAGATATATATATATATATATATATATATATATATATATATATATATGTTTGTGACTTTTGACTTAATAATTCTACCCAAAAGAATTAAATCCACCACTTTGAAGATATCAGTATTAATACAACAAGCATTGTTAATTTCCTACCACTTTGTTTGTAACTCTGTATTGTCTGTACTGTTCTTTTGCTATTTTGTAAAAGGTTGTCTGTCTGTTAATGTTTTTCCTCCTTTTATTTTTAAAATATATTAAAAAAAGAATTAAATCCAAGAAAGTAATCAGGCAGCCAAAAATCCACATATAAAATGTATGTTTCAGGGTTTCTTATAATGGCACAAGCTATAAATAGCTGAAATGACCATATGCTGAATACAGGATAAAATCCCGTGCATTGGTTTATAAATAAAAAAAGATCAACTTATCTAACTTTGTTACTGGCATAGGAAATTCTAGTATATAAGGAATGAAAAATAGGAAAGCATTATGCAAATCTACATGAAATAAGGATCCAAATGCCTGTGTATGTATATAAGGAAATGCATCAAAATAGTAGTAGTACAAAGAGTTATGCAAAGTTCATATTTGTACAAATGTATATGATAATTATAAATATTAGCCTACAGTGAAGGCTAATATTTTTCCTATAAAATCATGAGTTCAAGTTTTACAAACTAGCTATCCCTGACTCAATTGGTAGCTATGTATGTATGGCTTCTCTTCCCATCAGACTATAAGCTCCTTGAAGGCAAAAGGGAAAAAAAAAAACAAAGGCAAAAGAAATGCCTGTAAGGTCTGCACCCCAGGGGTGCCATGGAGCAGCAGGCCTGGATTTGCATCCTGGGCCATACTTTAGATTCCTCTGTCATTTGGAAGTAATAATGCTACCTCACTGGACTGAGGTGAGGGCTGAGTGAAATCCTGTTTGTAAAGTGCCTTAACAACATCCGGTGCCCAGCAGGTACTCAGTACATGGTAGTTTAGGTGCTACATTTAGACTGGCTAATGTGTGGTATCCTAGGTCCAAGAACAGAACTAAGAATAGTTCTTTTTCTTCTGGCCAGATGACCTTTACATAGGAGACAAACTTGCTAAGCAGGAGGAAAGCAAAAGCAAGATCAAAGGCTGTCTCGCTTCTGAGACCCAGGAAGGAGGATCCCACAACCAAAGGACAGGAAAAGAGGGTCAGCCCTTCCACTCCAGACACTGCTCTGAAGATTACTCTGTGTTTGGTAAGAGTGGAAACATTTGCAGTGCTCCAGTGATAGAAGATATATGCCTCTGCTTGTTACATCAGGCTACCCAGTAGACCCATCCCCATTATAGGGCTGACTCAGTCTCATGAAGAGTGTGCAGCTATCCACAGGATAGGCCACCAAGCACAGGTAAAACCTTACAGCCCTCTCAAGTCGTATTGTTCCTGTACCCTAACTAATGCTTTCTAACAATACCATACCATCTCACTTGGATCTTAACTAGAGGTCTACAGCTTTTATCTAATTTAGAGGACATTCTGATGAGGAGAGGGAGGCAGTGTTTTTTTAATGGCATTTTCTTAGAGAACAAGTAGCTTCAGAAAAGAGCATTGTTCCAGGAAAGATGTTTGAAAATTTTCACAATCAGTATGTTTCACAACTAGCATGGACCAATCAGGATGGCTGCTTCAACACTTTAGATGGATAAATGTTATAAGAACTAAAACAGCCATGCCAGTACATGCAAGTTGAATATTAGCCTTCATTCCAGGGAGACTCACAAATGCTCTTGACACGGTGCCACACACAGCCTAGGAGACAGTTGCCGAGTGGACAGATGAATGAATGGCTGGCTGAGAGAAGAGTCTTTCCCTTCTCTGCTTTCACCACATCGACTGGAATCCACTACTATAGTTCCTTCCAGGAATGGCAGTAAAGCTCTATTAGGAGTAAAATCACTCCCATGGGGAGTATTGAACTGGGCCTTTTGGATAGACCTCCCCTTCCCCAGAAAAAGCTTCATCTTGTCAAAAAATAATGGTCCCTCAATTGAGGTCGTTAGCCGCTGGCGACCTATAAATAATAGCTAAAAGCTGGAACTAATCATAGTCCAGTCAGATTGTCGCTTCATTGTGAATTAAATAACACTTAAGCCTAACTGATTGTAGCAAGTGCCACCATTAATGTTGGAGCCTTCATTAGGAAAATAAATCTCCATCAATGCCATAGGTTGACAGGGAACAGAAAATTCTGACAGCTAACACTTGATTTTGTTTTGTTCTTCCTTTCTTATTTTGCAGCTAGTGGAGGCAGTGTGTCACAATTAGGCCTATATATTGCTTTAAAGAGTTATTTATAAAAGACTTCTGAAACAGTGCACAGCGGGCACTGACGTGTTTTTCCAAGTGCTGGCCGAGTGGCAGCTCTTTGTCACTCTGTGTTCACCTCTGCTCAAAGGATTATTTATCTAAGAACTGGAGCTCACTCATGTTGTCCATGGAGCAGACAGTATTACAAACACAAGAAGGTGAGAGTGCGTTTCAGAAAGAGCTCAGTTCCAGGAGAGAGAGAGAGAACCAACAAGAAGTCCAACTTGCCTACCAAATAAAGAACCAACATGATGGTGATTTCAAAGATTGATAAACTCTATACAGTTGAAATATTCATGCTCCAGAATTCTGGGACATATGTGTGCAGCCTCCAAAGGCAGATGGGAATCCACTCAGAGGAAGGCTTTCTAAAGTCAGCTCAAGGTGCAGTGAGTTCATATTGGAGTTGACGTTGTAAATAGATTAAGCTCCCACCATCTTTGCAGCTGAGTTCTGTGTTTGTTCAGCATTGAAAGAAAACTCCCTAATCTTGCTTAGGTTAAACATGATGAGGTCCCAAGGAAGATCAAAGGGAGGCTACTTTTCCCTTGGATATACATCCGTGAAATGAAATGCCAGAGTTCATAAAGTTCAGGAAAAACACGAAAGAAACGTGTAACATGGACTAACTATAAAACCTAGCGAGTAATGGAACATAATGAAAAACACAGGCCCGCCATGTGTCTGGGCTCCCTTGTGACTCAGGGGTGGGTGCACGTTTGCAAGAGAGGCAGACATCAGGTTTTCACTATTTGAATAAATTGCACAAGTAAAAAAACAAATCAAAATTTTGGGCAACTCTCTCATGGTATATTGAATACTTCTCAGTGCAACCCAATTTTGCCAAAATTTATCCCCACTTCTTAAAAAGGCTCTTTCAGTCCCTGACTAGTATTAATGTGCTACTGCCATGTGTTTCCACAAAATCCTAGAGCCAAACCTGTAATCCTCTCCCATCATATTTCAGTGAAGTCCTGCCGCAGTAATTATCAGGAGGAGGACCAGGCATATCCAGCTGGATCCAGATGTAGCCTGGGAGCCTCACAGATGAGGTTTCACCTGGGTCAGTGGGATAAACAAAATAAATGGATGGAATCCTGTCTTAGAGCAGTAAGAACAGGGAGCCCAGGGATTCCAGACGTCTGGAAGCCTGTGCACTCCCCCCAGGTTGGTCACAGAGTAACCCTGTGTCTTTGGGCAGGCATCTCCTTGAAAGGACTCCTTTCCTTCATTTGTGAAAGTAAGCACTGAATTAAATGATCTCATCTGTCCCCCTTGTTTTACGGTTCTATCTGTCTGTAACAGTTTGCTCATGTATAAGACTGCACAATAATAGTCATAGAACCTTCATAGATTGTGAAGATGAAGTGATTTATTTTTTATTTTTTATTTTTTTATTTTTTTATTTTAGAAATAAAAGGAGGAAAATACTAACAGATCGACAACGTTTTACAAAATAGCAAAGGATCAGTACAGACATTACA